GTATTAAATTGAAAATAGTACTATTGTAATAAGAAGAGCGGTGTAAGTAATGAGTAATTTGAGAAAATTATTCGTCTGATTGATACTCTTCTAATGGAACATAATCCACTCTGTCTTGTTCTTCTTCTCCTTCTCCTTCTTCTTCCTGCTGGGTACAAATAAATTATCCTCCTCGCATATATCGTAAGAATCCTCTTCTACTGGCGATTGAACATTGGAGCACGATTGGCCTCGACAACTGATACATGCTAATGAACAAAAAACCTAACTTTTTTACAGCCGCATTTAGCATTACACCCCGTTTTGCAATTGCAAAAAAAAATAATTGAGGAGTTTTTCCGGTGCAGGAGGGAGTAAAGTCTTAACTGGTTCCAATATATTGTCAATTAACTTCCAACCCCAGTCTTCTGGATTTAGTTTATTACCGAGCCATACTTGAACTTGATAATATACTCGAAATAGATGTTGCTGAGCAGAAGCAGAGGTTGGAGGAAGACAAGCTAATTGTACTTTTTTTTTATGCGTATTTTAAGCAAAAGTTAAATATCTGAACTTATCTAAGCACGTAATTTTTTGGAGCTCCGTAAACGGAAAGAAGAAAGCGAATTCCGTTGGTGATAACAGCTTGTGGAGTAGAGGTACTTTCTTTGAAAACGTCAGCACAATTAACTAAATCTTGTCTCTCAAACAATTTCAAAACTGTTCTTTTACCTCTCTTGAAAAATGCTGATGTCGTGTCGCAACCAGTTACTGCATGTAGAAATAAGATATGATTTTGGCATTTTGAAAAAGCAGATAAACTCTTGGATGAATATATTTTAGATTGTTGTTGAGCCTTCCCAGGGTTGAACACAATTGAACAGCAGCCAGATGTTGCTCAAGGCCGTACGGTCATATAAAATGAGGGACTGGGTTTTTTCCGAGTTTATATTCTTACAATTACTGTATAGTATGCATGTATACGCCACGAAAACTAATATTTTTAACTTATATTATCGTTCTGTAACGTATATAACGGTATTGACATACATATTATGTAGAATACAACTTTTTCAACATTCGCATCATTGCATCGCTATATCTCCGAAATGGCGATTCTTAGGAAAATGATTTTTTTTATAGATAATTGCATGATGAATAATTTTCTTCTCACCTATTTCTATAATAAAACTTACCGTTTAGCTGGAAAACTAAAAAAACCGATTTTTGCAACAACCTTTGGATTCATGTGGATAATAAAATTGACAAATTGTGTGTAATAGGGTTCCCAACATTCATGCCAATTTTCAGCTAGGTGCGAATTGATGCAACCTTACCCCTATTTTTGAAGCTAATTTGACCGGACTAGGAGGTCAAAAAGTTCGCGGAATAAGAGGAAGGAGGTTGAAATTAAACACCAAACTATTTTTCCTTTTCAATATATTTTCTCTTAACCCTAATACATTTTTCAGTTCTCTCAAATAACTTGTTTATACCTTCGAAAAAAAAATATTTGTCTTTGGTGTTGCAAAATTGCGGACTTCTTCATCGTCGTCAATTTTTTTTCCACGCAACTCTTTCTACAGTTTTGGAAATAAATAATAGTCACTGGGTGCCAAGTCTGGACTGTAGGGTGGTTGGTTCAATTGTACGAAGCCGCATCGGTGAATGGCAGCCGTCGCAACATGGCACGTGTGAACGGGTGCATTGTCGTGCAGAAGGAGCACACCTTTTGACAGCTTTCCTCTTCTTTTTTCCTTGATGGCTTCTTTCCATCTTTCCAGTAAAGTCTGTCCCGTTATAGTCACACCACGTTATTTATAATAATCAGTAAAATACCTTCTGTATCCCAAAAGACAGTCGCCATGATCTTGTCAGCCGATTGTGTCACTTTGAACTTCTTTTGAGGGGGTGTGGCTTTTTTATGCCACTGCATCGATTCTTGCTTTGATTCAGGTTCATTGTGGAGAACGCAGGTTTCATCACCAGTAACGTTTCGGGCCATAACTTCTTCCTTTCTCTCTCCACAGAGCTCCAAAAACTGGCGAGGACACTCGACACGCTCCATCTTGCACTGACCTTAGTCGTCCCAAGATGATGATGTAGAATATTCAAAATACTTGTTTCGCATACTCCAATCATTGCTGCAAGCAGCTTTTTCTTCAACCGGGCATCTTCCAATACACGTTTTTCTACTTTTTCGACGATTTCCGGTGTGGTGACCTCAATTGGCCGTCCGGAGCAAGGGTCGTCATCAATGGACTCTCTTCCTTGTTTGAAAAGACCATGCCACTTGTAAACCATGGTTTTACCAGGGACAGTCTGCGTAAACCGCCAACAGCTCTTGAAAAATAATCTGAGCGGATTTTCCTTGCTTGGTAAGGAACTTCATAACTGCGCGGTGTTCAATTTTCTCCATACTGGTTGACTTCATCCCGATTCAGATGTTGTGTTTGGTCGATAACTCAAAACTTAATAACCCGATTAGGTTCAAACTAGTGCCTACCTGGACGAGAAAACCTACCCCCACCAACCCCTCCATTCCGCGAACTTATTGACCTCCCCTCGTAGGTACCTACTAGCCACGTTTAGCTAGCGTTACTTTTCATCTTCAACCTGAAAATATACCAGAAATATTTAGTCATGGTTGTTAATAACCGTAAAGCGTCGAAGCCAGTCGCTCAACTATGCGCACATTTCCGTTGCAAGTGGTTTACATAAAAGTGGCTAGACTGGGTAGAGTTGGACCACTGTTCAGTCCACAAAGGCTAATTTCTACGAATACAAAACACGTTCTGTTCATTCACTACCGCACCGCATAAACTCTGGTTCGGATTATGGAATTAATAAAAAATAAGCTTTGAAATATCATATCTTTAGTGTTCTGTGCGCTAAGGCGTCAATTTATTTTCAAATAATATCTTAAGCAAGAATCCTTATAAAAATATGGTTTAACATCTATACATTATAATAAAATGGTAAGAAAGTCAAAACTGTACATTGAATATTTTTTTAAAACAATACTTGGGGTGTCTCTGCAATCGATACCGAAGCCAAAAATATAGTTTTTAGAATATTTGTCTGTTTGTTTGTACGTATTTCCGGGATAAACTCAGAAAGTACTGCATGGATTTTCATTGGTAAGAATATTATTAAGATGTCGGGTCAACATATAGGCTACATATTTTCACGAAACTCCACCCCTAAAAGGGTAATACGGGGGTTGCAAGTTTGTATGAAAGTCCTATGTTTTTGAAGTAAGAGACTTGAAATTTAACATGTATGCTCTATAGATAAATAACATAACAGAAATTAAGCCAGCTTTTGGGGACAAAAAGTATGTGCAAATAAAATAACTAACTCCACGCGTACAAGTCGCGGGCGGCCGCTAGTGAACAATAATAATGATAAATTCTGGACAAACTATTCAATTATTTAGTCTCAAACTAAACAAAGCTCGTGGCAAGTGACGCATAGAAATAAAATACTTAAGTATAAAACATAAGAAGTCATGGGACTTGGAATAAAATATTCGTGCTTATCAGTAAAATGTGCGCTGCTATTGCATCAACCGGTCGTGAAATATTTAAATTAAATTATACTATATTAATAGCAAGCATTATGCTTGCTTACTTTAAAACTAACACAGTAGTTTCATGCCTAGAAAAATTTGATAAACTGTAGCGTAGCGGCGCTAAGCATACTATAAACGCTACAACGATATGCTTACCTATAGAGAGAAGGCATCACATTCGGTAGAAAGGGTCTAGCCGGATAAGTATGACGAGTCGGGCCCCAATTGGGAACCTACATTGAAACTTTTATTTTATTATGTTGAAGATTTTATTACATAGTACATTATATATACTTTTTAAATTTTTATGATAATTTTTTAAATAAATTATAAAAAAACCATGTTATTTTTACTCTGCAATAAAACCTAAATGTTCACGTTGATTTCACTTCTCTAGCTTAATTAGTTTTTGAGGTATATTACTTTGAATAATAGTCATGCATATGGTTATTTTTTTCATATCTCAAGGACAACACGTCGCGAAATGTACATAAATTGTGTTTGTACAACAAGTCTATTTTAAAACACCAGTTTCAATATAGGTTCCCAATTGGGGGCTGACTCGTCATACTTATCCGGCTAGAGTGCTAGACCCTTTAGAAAGCTATTTTTAAAGCTGTTTTCTGAGGAGATAATAATCACTTCACTTACATCAACGATATCTTACATACTTAATCTAAAAAAACCTAAAGGCACTTCATATATTTTTGAAGTTATACTTCTTTAGGCGCGATATGAAAAATTTTTAGATGCGCGCGCATTACTGTAACCCAAAAGTAACAGCCTGAAGTTGGCCGCGGGCGCGTTATGAAAAAATCATGTGAGTGAAATTTCGAGATGCGCGCGCATCTCTGTAACACAATAGTAACACCATGAAGTTGGCCGCGGGCGCGTTATGAATGTTAGTTACCACCACCACTAAGTGGTTAATAATCCACCATTATTAGACATCTGTTCGAAAGGTACTTTGAACGATCCACGGAGCTCCATAAGGTGATCGCGTTGTCAAAAACAATGTTGGCACGCTCGTCGCCTCTGATCACTGTTTTCATATTTATAATATTTATCCACATGTTTCTAGTTTCTATATAGACACAACGTGTTTTAGTTACTTACAAGTGCTAATTACATATGGACTAATAACTTAAATTCAGTAGTGATTTTAATTGAATATTTTGAATATTTATTTAATTTTTCAAATTAAAACTGAACTTAATTGACTGTGTTACTATCCTTTTCCAGTCCTTTTATTATTTTATTGTAATTATTTTATTTATTTTATAGGTAGGTAGGTACGCATTTTAAAATTCTGAAAAAAATCGCAAGTGTTGCGTTGAGAAAAGTGAAGTTTTAGAATTTTAAACTTGTTCATAAAAAATATTGAAGTACCCATATATTTAAGAAAAACCAAAAAAATATATATCAACAAAAATACTTTAACTTCCAGGCGGGATGCAGGTGGTGCCATCAACGCCGATGATGCCGCAGCTGATGCCGCCCGTGATGGACGAGAGCCTGCGCCACTACCTGGTGCCGCATCCCCACCCCCACCACCACCCGCCGCACCCGCAGCAGCACCACCAGCCCCCACCGCATCACCAGCCGCCGCATCACTATGTATGTGACTTCGTTGTTAACTTCACGATGGACGCGCACTCGCACCCCCACCACCACCCGCCGCACCCACAGCAGCACTACCAGCCCCGACCGCACCACTATGTATGTGACTTATTGTTATCTTCACGATAGATGATCACCCACCGCAGCACCACTAGCCCCCGCTGCACCATCAGCCGCCGCATTACTATGTACGTGACTCGTTAATTACTCCATGATGGACGCGCACCCGTACCCCCACCACCACCCGCCGCACCCACAGCAGCACTACCAGCCCCGACCGCACCACTATGTATGTGACTTATTGTTAACTTCACGATAGATGATCACCCACCGCAGCACCACTAGCCCCCGCTGCACCATCAGCCGCCGCATAACTATGTACGTGACTCGTTAATTACTCCACGATGGAAGCGCACCCCCACCACAATCCGCCGCACCCACAGGATTACCACCAGTCCCAGGCGCACCACTATGTATGTGACTTATTGTTAACTCCACAATGCCTCGTTGTTTACTTGATGTGAAAGGACCCGACGCGACATTGGACATGCACCAGTTTAATTTTTGCTTGCATTAAAATGTTGTGGCGTAGATAAGGTTCTTATAATATTATTATTTGCTATAATATTAAAGCAGTTAATGTGATTTATTGTTATTTTGTGTGTGAAAGTGAATTTAGTGAAATCTCTAAAATATACGTAATATTCGTCATTTGCGAAAATTTGAACGTAGTGCTGTCTCACAGAAGCATATTTTTTTGGCTAAATAGGTACACTTCTAAAAACATTTGAAAGTGTACAGAAAAGAAAAACTAACCTTGAGGCTGTATAGATTTTGTTTCCTTTGCTTAACTAATTGAGAAAATATTATTGAAAAAATTTGACCAGTGTTGCCACACATACATATTTGCCGTATTTATACGGATACGGTTTATGGTACGGATTTAAAGGTCATATCTATATCAATTAAAATAAGATTAACGTACCTACATAGGAAACTATTTTTGACGTGACAACGTCTTAAATTAGGTTGCGGCTGGGAGTCACTTATGAAAAAGTGTAACGCTCGGTAACGTTACGATGAGTCTCTCGTGTTAAGTTTAAGTTTACATGTACAATGTTTTAGTAAACAAAATATATTTCTATAGTTAAAATTTGTGCAATTCTTATTTTCATTCAATTCCTTGTTCCTATTGTGCAATTTAATTATATTCATATCAATAAATATTCTACCGAGAAAAAGACGTTGTCACGTAAAATCTTCGCCCGTAAAACCGACTTACAGGCAACCATTTTTTTTTCAATGCGCGATTTTGACTAATTTCAATAGACAATTTAATTATTTTATGAATAATCTGTAACGTCAAATATCAAATTAGTTACAAACTATTTTTGATTAATCGAATATTTACCACTAATTAGCAAGTGTCAATACTCCACAATTACTAAACAAAATCTGTAGGTACTCAAGATTGTGTTTTATCTAGTACACTATCCTAACGTTTCGTCATTGTATAGTGGCCACCACCGTGGTAACTCACTAAAATGCAAAAATACTAGTCCAATATATATATATATATAAAAAACAATACTATGCCGTAATACACTAAGATAAAGTTCCTTATAGTCTAACACAAGCAAATGATAATTTTGATAGAAAATAGTGACTCCTACATGAGATATCATACATTAATTCTGTATCTTATCGCTACTTTTTGACAAAATTAAGTTTTCTTAGCTTGACCAAGTTGATACTGTCTAAATGTGCTACTTATAGTAATTAATAAAAAATATCAGAAATCGCAAGTACTGTCATAATCAAATAAAATACGTGTGGCACTCGGGGACTGCCGCGGTAAAGCTATTGCATAGCATTATTTATCAACTTATGCAATTATAATTATTTATTTATTTTATTTACGCAGTATTTTTTTTCTTTGATATCAATTCAAGTTTTTTCTTTGATATTAATAGATGGCGAGGTAAGCCTTATGATATTTTATTGGGCAAGCACAGTAAAAAACATTATTGCCCGGCGCCAAAAAACTTCCACAAGCTCCACAGTTTACCATCTTTAGTCCAAAAATTTTAATTATAATTATGAGGTCTAAATAAAAGGGAGACAAATAAAAATAAGAACACGTGCTGGGGTCTAAAACAAATATAAAAAAAAAAAAATTAAAAAATACGATTGCGGGATTTGAACCGACGACCGTGGTGTTGCGTCATACGTTGGTCTCGTGGCAAAAATTTAACACACTGCGCAGTTTCGATCGATACTGGAAAGGCGAAAATTGTGTTCATATGCACTGTTGTCAAGTTATTTTCATTACGGATTTTTTTGATTCGGTCGCCGCGCTCAAAGCCCGCGATAAAATCTATGCAATAGCTTAAAAATATTTGTGTACTTACCGATAATGAACCATAAAAAAGTTCTTAAAAATACCGTTAACCTAGTTGGTTAAGGAGGTAGGCACCTGACCAAATTATAAAATTTAACTAATGGGCAGCCCTTGTACTGTTGGTCTGTGGCTAAAGTTGATATCTTAAGTTGGCTACGAGTTATTATAACATAGGCCGTTTGAATTACTCAGTATTTAATACTGAAATTGATTTAGAATGCATGCCATATCATCACCATGAATTCACTTAATAACATAGCAAAACTTCTATTCATCTCGTTCATTTTTTAGGCATGCAGAAACACAATACTCGAAGGTCAATTTGGTACTACCTGAATAAACTTACATTTGACAACTACTGACAGCCAACTGAACAAAGTTAGCAACCAAACTTGCTATCAGTATTGGCAGAAATATATTCTATTTTACATATCGGGCTGTAAAACATACCAATCTTATATATCCTCCTGAGACCCCTGGTGTCACCCGTGACACTTGCAGATATAATTTTTTTTTCGCGCCATTTATTGATGTAACTGCAAACTACGTAAAATTTTAGTTGCAATTTTGAATAAGTGCAAATACCGACATGTCGACATACCGGAGAGGTAAATCTTATTTTTAAAACGTTTCTCGTTATTGTTTTGTGTTATTTGTGTACACGGTTCATTGATCTCTCAATAATGATAATAAATATTAAAAAAAAATATATCTTACCCGTATTTTAACCCTTTTATTTGGGTGTCAGAGGTGACACTTTGGTCACTCGTGACTTAAAATGTGAACTTTACAGTACTGAGAGAAGCTGAAATCGAAGAGTCATTTTTCAATTTAAATAAATCCGATATCGAAGATGTTGATAAAGATAAAAAGGAAAACTTTATCAAGGAGAAAAAGACGAGTCTGAAGAGTAAATCTCTCGATCATCTGATTGTAGCGAGTGGGATGATTCAGATGAGGAGCCGCTTTCCTCTGTAGTGAGTTCTCGTATCGTAAAAATATCCAAAGGCCGCCCCTTGCCATGGGATCGTACAAACAACTTCCAGAGCCCTTCAAACAATCTTCATGAGGGTCCACCATTACTTGATGCAACTAATAGTGCATAACCTTCCTACGAATACTTTTACCAATACATCAAACCTGTTTTTTTGTACAAATATCACTTTGTACTAATATTTGCAGCATACACAGAACTGACAGATCTTTAGATACAAACCCAGAAGAAATACGAACTTTGTGTGTTCCAGGCTGCGGAAACCAAGGCACTATTAGTGGCTATTGCTATGACGCCAATAGATATTTTCAGTTGAGGAGCAACATAAAGGTTGTTGACGATCAGTTAATAACATCTTCTATGAAAGTTTTTGACCAATTCTGGAAAATTGGTCCTCTGGTATCCACTATTGAGCATGGTTGTAGACAAAACCAAAGAGGCCAAAATGTGGCAATAGGTGAACAAATTATTCCGTTTATAGGAAAGTGTAAAATGAAGCAGGTCGTGAAAGGAAAACCCTAATGGACTGGACTTTTATTTGTACCAGGGAGGGGGAACCAACTTAGAATCGGTATTATACCTAATGCCAGAGAAACCTGTCACTCGGAATAGACCTCGAAGTAGCACTGTTACTGAAACAGAAGAGGAAGAATTCGAAGTTGAAGCCCCTGCCTTCAAACAGGAAACGTAGAATTGTCGAACCCATTCCCTACGTTGCCAAGCGACTAAAAGAAGCTCAACACATGCCCATGTTCATAAAGGAAAATCGGTCAAAATGTCGGCTTACTTCATGTAATCAGCAACCTTTCGTTAAGTGTTCAAGCTCCAACATATTTCTATGTTTTAATGCAAACCATTTTTTTTATACTTTTCATACTACACAATGATTTAACTAAAGCTAGATTATTACTGGTTAGTCAATAAAACAACTATAATTCGGAAACACCAAAATATCTAACATTTATTTAATGAAAAAGTATTTTTAAAAAAATAAAAAGTAGATTGATTAGAACCTGTTTTAATGTAATTTGAACCCATTGTGTCACTGGTGACACCCCCCATTTTGGAGTATTTAGGGGGGATAGATTTTTTTTACTATTTTTTTTACGTTATGTGTATCACAATGTTATTTCCAAAATTCATGACAATCAATAAACTTTTTGTGGTCTGGGTCTCAGGAGGATATATTTTTTCCTACCACATATTTTGGTTAATTTTAATGACTGGCCAAGTTACACTTGAAAATAAAAGTTGGCGGGTTTCACGGTTTTATTTAAGGGGTGCACGTGAAAACATAAGAAACATTTATACGGATTTCCTTCGATTATGGTTGGCAATGGCAACACTCTATGCGTCACTCACCGATTTTGAATTTGTTTCGGATCGGATTTGCTGGAACTTCGTTCGAGTTTATTACTTGATTAGAAACTTGTGTTGTGGAAGGGCGTGCGTCATGAATATAGTTGTATTTTTTTAAGAGGAGGTATAAACATTATTATCTTATTAACCTACATTTTACTATTCAAAGTTTAATAAATTTTGTTCGAATTAATATTATTCATTCGGTGAACAAATAATAATTTGTAATTTTAATCCAAAAAGAAATATTTACATCATCTAAGCCATCGTATTTGGTAATTTGCATTATTACATTAAGAATTAACTATTTAGTTAAAAAACATTGAATTTTACCTGTAACCTTCAAAGCCAATATCTAAATAATATTGTAGTAATAAATCTACCTGTATTGAATGAATCGGTTCACCTTCTGTGCAAACAATTTCCGCAGAATTATCGATCGTTTCGCTTTTAAATTTTAACTCGTACGTATATTATTTGGAATTTGTACGTAAGCATATCGAATTATCCAGTTGTTTCAGTGGGTGCTGTAATGTACGCGCATGTGAGAATTCAGTATTTGTGTGACTTTGGCCGTGTAGTAACGAGTGTGCGATAGCGTGTGTTATCTGTAACCGGTGTTCGAGTTGGCGAGACGTGGCAGTGACATTCTTATAACTCAAGTATACATGATTTTATTGCAAAATCAACACAATGAGTGATCCTATCTCAACTGATGATAGTAACTCTGAAAAGACTAGTAACTCTGAAAAGACAAGTAACTCTGAAAAGACAAGTAACTCTGAAAAGACAAGTAACTCTGAAGAGACAAGTAACTCTGAAGAGACAAGTAACTCTGAAGAGACAAGTAACTCTGAAAAGACAAGTAACTCTGAAGAGACAACTACTGCGGTCAGTTGAGCTTATCTTAATATTAACCAAAACTGTCCTGATTAATAAAAAATCTACCCACCTGTCCGGTTTTGAAAAACACAGATAGGTGTAAAAAAATTACATACTTACATTTTATTTTACTCTACATTTATATTGCATTGTGAATGCAATGCCTAGTTAAATCATCTTCAAAATGCATTAGTTACTTGTTCTTACAATCAATATGAAGGTGGATTGATTTTATTTATGCTCAGTATATTTTAATATTTGCTTTTTTTATACTATTTCTTTAAATCATTATGTATAACACTTATTTTAAGTGTTTTCTGTTTCAATTACAAATAAATTTACAAAAAAATGTTAAAGAAAAATTTGGCAGAGCAAATGTTGTGCTAGTTATTTATTAGGTATATTTGCAGATGCTTTAAGTTACTTGTATTATAAACACAACTGAAAAAATGATTTAATTTAATATTGTTAGTGAACAACTTGCAAGTCTTCATAAGATGATTATGCTACATGACATGTTTTACTACCTCCGAAATAAAATAAATAATAGTTATATGTTATGAACTATATTCCATATAGCTATTTGTCATTATCCACTTGAAAAGCATTTCTTTTTTTGGAGTTATTTTTCCATCAGGATAATGTCCGTATACAGACTCAAAATAAAATGATATAGAATTTATGCCTTGGTTAAAAATAACACCAAGAAATAGAAATTAAATTCTGACCGAGCCTTGTTTAATACCAAAACAAACAAATAAAAATTAAACACCTTTCATGCATAATAGTATGAAACTCCAAAATTAGTTTTATATTACCCACTTTTCAAGTAAAAATATGTTTGTGTCTCAATAAATGTACATTGTCTCATGTATTTAGCAGTTTTATAATACCAAAAATATATGGAATTTAGTTTATTTATGGCTTTAGATCAGCTTTTCTACCATAAAAAAAAATCGTGTATATTTCATTAAAAGGTTAATTGACCTTAGGATCTCATAAGTAACTACACATTATGATGTTTACCAAACATGGGTTCAAAATGTCAATATTTACATTGAGTTCTCTTTGTGTACAGGGTGTATACAGGGTTGATTTTAAAACACCAACAACCTCTTAGGGGATGATTCTACCCATCAACAGGAACAACTTTTATTATTAGACCAACTCTGATTTTGCAACAAAAATATCTGCTGTTTCATACAAAAGTGCATCAGCTAATGGACCGAAATGTATGAAACAGCTGTTTTTTTTGCGATTTGAGAGTTGGTCCAATAGTAAAAGAAAGAACCTAAGAGGTTGTTGGTGTTTTAAAATTAACCCTGTATAAAAAAATATTTTTCTGATAAGAAACAAATTGCTAGTTTAATTTTTAAATCATATTGCAACACCTGTCACAAATTTAAAGTTCTTATCTACTTCTGCCTGCACAGTGGAAGATGAGGATTTCGAATCCCTTCTGCAACCTGGACCGAGTGGAAGTTTCTCTAGTTTCATTTTCTTTAGATTTAAATATGTCTTATACTGCTTAAACAATATAATAATATAGCACTGACGATTTGTCTTTATCCATGACAGTAATTGTTAATTTTTACTAATCTAATAATTACTTTTTTAGGGTCCTTCAAATGGTACAGGAGCTCCACATTTTTATGGTGCGGGGTATCCACCCCACTTTCATCATGTGCCTCCACACATGCAACACTCGCCACCACCACCAGTATACCAGAAGGATGAGAGGACACAACGGCAGTACTCAAAATTAAAACAAAAGCTGGAGCGCAAGCAAACAAATAGGAATAATGGTATTGGTAAGTTGAATAGTTAGTTATATTTTTCATAAATAACAACTTTTCATTAAGCAGTCAAGATGTGCTCTAAAAGATTGTTGCTTTTTTAACCATAGCTTCAAACTTGTGTGAAATATTTGTTTGCAGAGCTTTTTTTTAATACCCTAATCTTAATCTATCATGGATTTTCAGTTTTGTTACAATGCTAAACTACGATGGCCTGTGTTTGTTTGATTTAGAGCTATTTTTATTTTCGAAATACCCACATTTTAGGGAAAATTCATTTATAATTTGATGTCGCCAATGAAATTCAGGTAAACGACTAATGGATAACTGAACGGAGTCGAATACGGCCGTATTTGGCTAGTTTTCGTTTTGGTTACCTGTCACCGTATTTCAGTCCGTATTTCGGTGTAAATATTGTCTTGGCACCCAAATACGGGCTAACAACCAAACATAATTAATAAATACCAAACAAATATTTCCAACACTCACACCAATTAGCCTAGCCCCAAAGTAAGCACTGTAAGACTTATGGGATACTAGTGTAATGGATAGAATAAATAAACAGTACGTATATAAGTATATTTATATATAAATACATATTAAACATCCATGACTGTATACAAATGCTTGTGTTCATCACACAAACATCTGTCCCCACCGGCATTCGAAACCAGGACCTCTCGAGCAGGCAACACCTTGAAACCCAGTGTACAAACCACTCGGCCACGGAGGTCGTCAAAATTATTATTATTGTAAGTAAATTGAGCCATTACAATGTTAATATATTTCTGTACAGAGGTGAATTCAGGTGCGAGTACGCCGTCGCTATCGCCGAGAAAGGAACTGAACGGTCGAGGGGGCGACAGCGGGGGCGCCTCCTCAGGCGCGTATTCGGAGGGCGAAGGCTCCTCTGCTGGCGCCTCCGTGCAGGGCGACGACGATAATGCAACGCAAGCCGTACTCGACATGCTGTCTGCGACTCGCACGCCGCAGGTTCGTTAACCATTTTTTTTAATACTAGGGATACTAGGGTAGTGGATAAAATACATATACTGATACGTATATAAGTATATTTATGTAGAAATACATATTACACATCCATGACTGGAGTACAAATGCTCGTATTCATCACATAAACCGGGATTCGAACCCGGGACCTCTCGAGTAGGCGACACCATGAAACCCGGCGTACAAACAACTCGGCCACGGAGGTCGTCGATTAAAGCTTTGTCAGGCTACACTCACACTAGCGCAGAGTTGAAGCGTTGAAGGGAATACCTTAGCAGTGGGAAAATAGAGATAAGTTTGCTACAGACGAAAAACATGAACCTTGGTATGAAGAAGTCGCTTGTCGTATAAGAGGGAATACCTTAATAGTGGGAAAATAGAGATGAATTTGCTACAGGCGTAACGCTTCGCGTCGCTTCGATTCTGCGCCGGTGTGAGTTAAACTTTAGAAAACCTAATTTTTTAGGTTAGCTATTCTTTTTTTGTCATAAAAAAAAAGTAGTCACATGTATATTATATGACCCGTACATTAGCTTTACACTTAGTTGAGAGTATCACTGAATGGTGTTAGTTTCAGGACTTCATTATAATGGAAGCTGGCCAGATTGATTTTCTCCAGCAATAATTCTACTGTGCACCCACCTCTCTTATTTTGAATGGTTAGGAAATTATAAAAGGTTAATGTTTATGGTCGACCCCCGTGATTTATGAAATACTGTTCTGGGTTTGAACTTCCAATACTCAAATACTTTTCTGTATTGTCTTATGTGATGATTTAATTTCGTTCACAAAGTAACATAAGTAAAAGCGTATGAATAACAAACAATAAAAACAATGAATGTTTGCTTTATTGTTTCCGATTTTAATAACACAAGGTGTTTCAGGTGCTTACCGTTGTATCAACCTGGTATACAATGTAAACGTACGTTAATAAAGTGGCGTCGCGTGATTGTTGCTATGGAAATTGATGTCAAGTATATTATTTCTGTGGAGTTAGAGTTGGCCATTGCCAAAAGGCTCACAGAGTTAGAGAAAGGAGAGGAGTAATAAAAAATATACACAATTATTTAGATTTATAATCATTTAGATTATCTACTGTAGCCTTCGCTACAAATAAATAATATTAACAGTAACAATGGTGATTGTTAACCTTGCAAGAGATAGAGCTTGATGTTATTTATAATTATATTTATTGTACCCTACATAATTAAAATGAACACTTAAAGAAATTTATATGCAATATAAACCTTAACTTTTGGTTTCAGGTTAGCGACATAACTCCAAGAAGTGCATTTTTGCAATGGAATGCACCCGTTCCAGAGAGTGTCACAGTACCAAATATAGATCTTACCTATGATTTATTACTCAGTGATAAGGAAACGAAGCGATACAAAGCCATATACAGTGGACCCTCCCTATCTTGCCGGTAAGTGGAATGAATGATCATTTACTTATATATATATTTATTTTTAAGAAAACATTACTATAAAAAATTTAAGTCTATTTTTCCACTGATATTGGTCTCGATTCTGACATGATTCTCTAAGCCTAAACTTAATTTTGACAACAGTGTATTCTTGTCATTCTCTATACAAAATGAAAAGGAGTGACTGATGTTAAATTTAGTTTTAAGTTTAGAGAATCATGCCAGAATCGACACCATTCTTCCAACAAAATAGGGAAGATGTATATATAATATTTATGAAAATTTTATGATCAAAATGTTAAAAAAATATAATAGAAATGCCACTGCAACGTTTTTATTTTACATAATGTTGTTTTTTAACAATTATTACGAATTAAAAATACTTGAAACAGAACGTATTTTAAAACACCAATCAGTGTTTAGTGACGTCACTCCTGTTATGACAACTTCTTTGGTGTTATGGTTGTTAAAGTAAATATTATTTTATGGGAATATTATTTGCGTTTTTTTACATTTAATAAAAATGGAAGTTGCGTTTATCAAAGCAAACTCCAGGAATTTACCAAGAGTTAGTGTTGACATGGTTAAAACTTTTTTGTCCAAAGTGCAGAGTTTTTAAGTGTAGAAATGAAAGGGCCTAAATTACTACGGTATGTAAAAATCGTAGTTGTTAAACTTCGTATTTTATTCAGCGGCTTCTACAAATCTTACGGCGATAATGCAATCGGCTATGTCCAAATTAAAAGAGATGGAGAATTATGTAAAGTAAAAGGTCGAGTTCTCCGGAGTAAAAGTTAAAGTACGTAAAGAAGATTATCGTGTTACAGTTATTTTAAATGAAACGCAAAGCTTGGTTCAGTCCTGCCAATGTGAAGATTGTGCCACACATTTTAAAGTTTATCTGATTTTCGACGTCATTCTCCAACTGTAAAATTAAAAATATGTTATAGACAGGTTTTGTAAGTATTAGGTAGGTTACTAATGCGTTTTTACGTACAAGCAGATTAATTAAGCATATAACAAGTATATTCGCCGACTTACGTCAAAGTGATCTTCACAGCATCGAATAATGGTCTTTGGAGAATAATTGTCATTTCTCTTCGCAGCTTGAAACCACTTTTTTTTTCAGTTTTGGGTCAGAAGTTTCAGTCAAAAACAATTTATTTGGAAACTTTGTTGAAGTAGATTGGCACAAAACATGAGTCAACACGGCTTTTTTTTTCGGAATATTAGTGGTATTGTTATGATCACATGATGTCGATGGATAGCCCATTTAAAATTTTTAAAAGTATAAAAATTTAAAGCCAGCGACGAACAATTACGACCAGTGACAGACAGGAGTGACGTCATCGCAACCATAGGTTCGTTTTCGCGCGAAAATTTAAATTGTCCATTTAAAACCGCATTTTTTCCAATAAATCACAATGTTTTAATTTTTTAATATCTCTGTGGTTTATTCTACATGGAATTCTTTAAAATGAAAACAAAAATAAAAATATTGCATCTTCCCTATTATGTATTTTATTTATTTTTGAGATAATCAACTTTTTTCGCATTACATTGGTCTTCTTCAAGGCACTTAATGAAATGTTTTTCTTTTCAACAGTGTGAGAGATCTTAAGCCTGGATGTGAGTATTCAGTTTGCCTGCAAATACGAGCTGGAGAACTGACTGGAGCCGCGAGTGAAGCCGCTACGTTCCGAGCCCCCGCCGCGCCCCCTGACCGCATGGGGCCACTGCGGGTCACGCAACGCACTAGAAATTCCTTACAACTGCGTTGGAACTCGGTACCCGACAATGGGGCGCGACTTTGGTATTACCTACTCGAAACGAACCTCGGCGAAGGCTTCGTGGAACTCGCTAGGCCTCGAACGCGCCAGCACACGGCGAACAACTTGAGACCGCAGACTCAGTACCGCTTCCGAATAGCAGCTGTCAACGAGTGCGGTCAGGGTGAGTGGAGCGAGGACACCGTCGCGTGGACCACCGGCTCCCCGCCACCTGCGCCCGCACCACCCTCTCTACAAAGCGCTACAGCGGACACTCTCACACTGTGCTGGGATCGGAAATCTGAAGAAGAATTCACCCTTCAAATGGATGACGCCGCCCGAGGGCACGGGTTCCTGCCCATTTACAGCGGACCCGAGCGATCTTACGTATGCGGCGGACTCCGCCGCGCCACTGACTACCGCTTCCGGCTCCGGTGCGAGACCGGCGACGGGCAGGGGCCGTGGTCGACGGAAGTCGCATACCGAACTGCGCCTGAGAGGCCGGGAGCGCCCGGTCGACCGAGTCCTCGGGGTAAAATACACTCGCGCGCATTCCGACTGCGATGGGAGCCGCCCGCGGACGACGGCGGCGCGCCCATCGCGTCGTACACGCTCGAGCTAGACGGCGGCGAAGGGTACCGCCCCGCGTACCAGGGGCTCGACCGCGAGGCGCACTGCGAGCGCCTCCTGCCCGGCACGCCGTACCGGGCGCGCGTGCGGTGCGCCAACGACGTGGGCGACAGCGACTGGTCGCCCGCGGAGACCGTCACCACGGACGCGAGCTGCCCCAGCGCGTGCGCCGCGCCCGAGCCCGCCGCCGCTCCGCGTGCTACACTCGCCGCGCTGCGGTGGCGCGTGCCCGACTGCACTGGTGGCGTGCCGGTCACCGAGTACCGGTTGGAGGTGGCCGACGCTGACGGGGCGGTGCGGCTCGCCTACCAGGGGCCCGCAACCGAGTGTATCGTGCGCGACCTCACGCCCGGTCGTCCTTACCGCGCGTGGGTCACGGCATGCAACCGCGTCGGGGCGGGCCCACCCTCGGCCGCGCTCGCCTTCACCGCCGCCGCCTCACCGCCGGACGCGCTCGACGCGCCTCTCGTCACCGTCGAGACCGCCCACATCGCCCGCCTCGAGTGGACGCCGCCCCGCAACAACGGCGCCCCGATCCTCGACTACCGGCTCGAGATGAGCTCCACCAACGCGGAAGACGCGTTCGCAGAAGTATACCGGGGGCTGGAGACGTCATGTGTGGTCGGCGAGCTGACGCCTTTCTCGCCGTACTTCTTCCGGGTGTGCGCCAGCAACTCGGCGGGGCGAGGTGCGTGGTCGGGCGTGCGGGACGTGCTAACGCCGCGCGCGCCGCCCGCCGCGCCGCTCGGTCTGCGGCATGAGGCCACGGCCGACTCCCTGCACCTGTACTGGCGGACGCCCGTGTCGCACGGCGCCGACGTGCTTGGTTACCGGGTGCAGGTCGGCGACGCCGCTTTCGACACGGACGGTCCGACGCCCGAGCGGCTCGTGGAGGGCCTGCGCCCCGACACCATGTACCGCGTGCGCGTCGCGGCGCTCAACGAGCTCGGCCTCGGCGCCTGGTCGGAGGAGGCGCGCGCTGCAACGAGGCCGATGCCGCCGCCGCCGCCGCACCTCAAGTTAGCGCAGGCGGCGCACAACTTCCTCAAGCTGGAGTGGGCGAGCGCCGGCGAAGGCGCGCAGTACTGCGTGGAGATGCGTGCCGCGGACGGGCGCGAGTTCCGGCCCGTGTATCGGGGCTCTGCGCGCTCGTGCAAGGTGAAAAAGCTGCGCGAGGCGAGCGCGTACTGGTTCCGCATCCGCGCGAGCGACGAGCGCGGCGGGCGTGGCGCGTGGTCGGAGCCGGCGGCGGGCGACACGCTGGCGGCGCCGCCCCCCGCGCCCCGCCCACCCGCACTCCACCTCCCCGCGCCGCGCGTCGCACACATCGCCTGGGAAGCGATGGAAGACGCTGAATACATCCTGCAGTGTGCGCGCGGCAAGGATGCGGTCTTCAAACAGGTGAGAATTTTATTTTATTTTTATTTTTTTATTTATTTAATTCAAGTAACAAACAGTCTTATACAAACAATTTTACAATTTATGTTTACAAATAGACCTAAAGTACCATTAATTGATATGAAAGAACAATGGGCAAAACGCACCCAGCTCTGCCAACAATGTAATTAGTATGAATCGATAGATCTATGAAAAACTAGACTTTTTTAGTATGGCACCAAAAAAAAATATCCTGGGAGTCAAAAGATATACACGTGGGCATGTTCTATGTTAGGGGTTAAGGTTTCTGCACATCAATTTAAATGCTCGTTCTTTTACTTGACATTGGCTGAATGAAAAAACCGTGCTTGCCACAAAAAAAAAGAAAGTGCTCGTTCGATAGCTTCGCACCAAAAACTTCATACGAAAAACCTCACGTCATATTGGCGCCAACTAATGACCTGCATTTTTCTAAACACTCATTGGTTTTGATAAACTGGAATCATGTTTTCTCCGAAGAATGGATAAGTGTGTGTGATTTGTGGACGCTCCTTTTTACGTAGAAGACGATTAACTATAACGAACAGACTATTTGAAAATAACCCAACCGCCGCAAGATACATTATAAATAACATCGTACCAAACCAAGTAAGTACATAACATCACATTATCATTATACTTAATAAAGTTCTTTATACTTTATTTTATCTAGTATACTTTTTTAATATTATTTAGCGTGTGATAGACTAAGTAACCAAAGACAGTCGTTTACTTCAATCATTATAGTAAGGATGCTTATTGAGCTAAAAGTCCCGATACAAATCCTGGTCAGGACAATGCTTGTTTATGTGTATTGTGTAGAACAAGTCCTTAAGCAACCGAAAAACTGAACTTCCAACTAAGTAGGTAGTTCGATTTTTTCTTCTAAGATAGCTATTTAAATAGTGTAACCTTAAATTAACGCTACTCGATTAAAACGACTAATTCCCGAAAACGTCGAAATTACTTGACTCTGGTTGGTTTACCTTATTGTCCATACAATGACATACTATGGATGAAGATAATTAAAAATATTTGAAATGAAATAATGTTTCATAATAAATCCCCTTTTTTTACACTTACCAATTAGCCTAGCCCCGGAGTAAGCACTGTAAGGCTTGTGTTATGGGATACTAGGGTAGACGTAGGTAACGGATAGAATACATACGAAGTACATTTATAAGTATATTGATATAGAAATACATATTAAACATCTATGACTGGAGTACAAATGCTCGTACTCAGCTCACAAACATCTGCCCCCACCAGGATTCGAACCCGGGACCTCTCGAGTCGACGACACCATGAAACCCGGCGTACAAACCACTCGACCACGGAGGTCGTCAATTAATATATCCGTCCTATATAATCGTCCTTGTGTATCTTTAAATATTATGTTCGTTATAGTTACTTTTACCTATGGAATTGTACCTATTTAACTTAAAATAACTAAAGACCCCCGGGATGGAATTTGATGCGCTTTGGCACAGATGATCATGACTATAATACCTTTCAAACAAATGTAGTTTAAGCCGTGGCGGACATGGGTGCAGTGTCCATGCAATTTTGCCCATTGTCCTTTATTGAATTGATAGGAATTGATTATTTGACCGAGTTTTTTTGTTGTTGATTAATTGTTACTGTACTTAGTGTTAGAGCAAAACTTTCCGAGTCACTTCAACGTTTCTTTGTGTTTGATAGCATTTGTAGTTCTGTATTATTTCTCTTCTACACAAAGTATTTTGAAATAATTTGAGTATTCGAAACAATAATATATGAATTCTCAGTTTACTATAAAAATGTTTGTATTGCGCAGGTATACGCGGGCAGCGAGACGCAGTTCTCTTTGGAGGAGCTGGAGGCGGGAGCGGAGTACCTGGTGCGCGTGATGGCGGTGCGCGGCGGGCTAGGCAGTGCGTGGTCGGCGGCGGCGCGGCTCGTGGTGCCCGCGGCGCGCGCCCGAAAGCGGCCCGGCGTCGGCACCACCGGCACGGCGGCCGGACCGGCGGCGGGCGCCGGCGCTGGCGGCGCGGCCTCCGGGGCGGGCGCGCGTCGGACGGCACTGCTGATGGCGGCCGCCTTCCTCCTGCTGGCGGTGGGCGTGGCCGTCCTCCTGCAGCGCCTGGTGGAGCCCCGCCCGTGACGTGCGCTGGCGGCGGCGCGCCCCCGCGCCCTCGCCCGCCTCTAACCCGCCCCTGTACATAATGTAGATACGCGACCGCGACCCCGACGCGACTCTTCAAGCGGTATAAGAGTTTTATGCGCAAACGTGAAGTTGCCATTGTTTATGAAACGTACGAGTTTCGCAGTGTGGGAGCGCCCCCTCCGTCTCGTGTGTGTACCCTTTCTGTTTCCGCGAATCTTCGCAATCTAGTCTACGCGCTCGCGTCCGTCGATGCTGCCGCGTCGGTCGTACGCTAGCGCTCTTCCGATATCCTGTATCGCTTGTCGATCTGCGACTCTGTTTTCCGTATGTACGTCTCTTGTCTACGATCGATCTGTCTGTTGCGAGTCTATAACGGTTTTAATTGTAAGAGGTCAGTAAACGACTAAGGTGCTCTATTATTAAAGTTCTGTTAAGGAGGGCGTGGCCCTCTCTCTGCAACGAGTTTCCAGTGTGTGTGCTGTGATCACTTCCTTATGCGAATGAGACTGATTTTACAAGTAAACGCTTTGTTTATAGAAATGTTTCAAAATGCTTCGGTAACACTATTCCTGACGGACTGTATCTGCGCCGCGACGCGGCGTCCGGCGTCCGGTTGCAATGCATACAGCTACATAATCCTATTTTATATACTCCGAATGCTTATTTTATAATATCGATGTACCTTATCATATTGTATCGTCGATAATAATTAATTATTGTTTTTATTCATAGATCATGACCTTTTAAGGATGACATTATATAATGAATAGGTAATTTGTTTATAAATTTAGAGATTACTGAGATTGTTACCACCCGGTAAATAAAATAAGGGAGTTGTCAAATTTGAACTAATTTGTAAGGCGTTGTGTCCCAAATGTGTAATGTTTTCAAAGAAATGTTATTATAGCCCTTATTGATGTTTGTTACTTTCATAGCGTTATTAGAAAAATGTTAAATGATTTCCATATTATTCTAAATGAATTTTGTTCTAGATAAGCAAAGTGTCTTTATTAATTGTGTATCTTTTATTCGAAAGATAGAGTAGATTATAATGCCGTTATAAGAGTTTCCATATTAAACATTGGTGTTTTATATATCACGATATAATACTATTCACGATTAAATGTGTTCGGGATCTCACGGCTGTAATGCGTTTGTCTAACTGGTTGTAGTGATGTGACGTGTAGGCCCCACATGTCGATGTGTAAACATGTACAGAACGTCGTTCTAGGTACTAATAACATTGATTGTATTCGTAATAATCGATGAGATTTCCGTGACACACCAATAGGTTTAAATATGTCGTAAATATATAATATTTACTTCTCCTGTGATCAGCTTATTATTCTATTATTTATATATATGTTTATTATTGTTATCCGAAACATTCCTAGGGTACATGTTGCTTTCCGATTTCAGTAAGCTTGTTTCATTGTTATACTATCTATTATAGAAATTCACTTCGTGCCTATTTTCTTAAGGCGTTATTGACTTTGCGAGCTCAGCTCACAAGTTCAAAATAATTATTTATTTTTTTGAAAAATTTATGATAAAGATGATGTGCAATTATTTTTAACAACTTATTTATTTCTTAATCGCTTTAATATAAATATTTATTTTTTAGAAAATATATTGAGATTCCAAAAGCGTCATAACATTAATTCAATGTTCCTCAACATGCTACACCAACTGTTGCAAGCTAAATTTGTGTACTACAGTCAAGCATCATGCATTCCAACTTTATTCCACTTGTAAATAGGCCTAACGAATTTTATGTCTTGAATGTACATCTTGCTTTAAATTAAATTGTAAATACCTAAATCTGATGTTGATGAGCTTTGTGTAAAGGCGTGTTTAAACACTGAACATATGCCAATGGAAATTACTATTCTGTGTTGAGACTAAAAACTCTTTCAATTAAATGAGATATATTATTAACGGGGATAACATCTCATATTGTATTTGTGTTTTAAATAAGTAACGTATAACGAAATGTATATGTTTATAATATAATATTTGATGATGTTATGTATACAATTTATTAAACATGAATATATCAATAAAACTATATTTTTGTGTACGACAATCTTTTTATTTTCTTTCTACAAATAACAACATTTTCCTTAATTAAAATTCATTGTTGAATTGGAGGACTGTTAGTAGGAAAATTTGTAATCTAGATAGGTTTATTTCGAAAATATACACAAATACGAAACAATAAATAAATAATAATAGGCTTACAAATAAGGCATCTTTGGTCCATCAGAAGACTAGAAAACTTTGTACTATGAGCATTAACTACTGTCACACATCCTTATTAACTAAAAAACGCATGATTTTAATTTTTATACAAATGTTTGTATAAAAAAGGCTTTCCGTCTTATTACAAAACGTAGACTTAAGTTAAACCTGAATTTAAACGGATGCTGTCACTTTTTTTTACTAAAAAGAAGACTGAGCCAACATTAGTTTTAAATCAAGCCTAACTTTAGTCGACGTTTTCAAATAATAAATACGGTTTGAGTTTAGCTCCTGCCCTAAAATCGCTACGTTATTGGGAGCAATTGGCACGATTTGATGTTTTCGCTGTAAACGTCCGTGAAATTTGTGAAGTTGTTTTCTTCTGTAGATATGTGGTCCATGCAACCTTTGAAGTTATTGGGGAAGATTTTCTTTGCTACTTTATTCTCGAGGTCATTTACGCCACCTGTTTTAAAATATTGGATTCAAACACTTAAATAATAAATTATGTATTCTATAATTTAGGAGGACCTCGATGGTGCAGTGATTAAAGCATTCAGTCTGTGGCCGTGGAAGTTTCGCATCGAGTTCTTTTTTTGCTTGGAAAGTCACGTATTTGCTAAGCACCAACCAAACCGCACTGAACTGGCTGGTTATGATTATGACCCAACTTTCTTATTCCATCCACAGGGAAAGCCTGCCCCAGCAGTGCGGACATTAATATCACAGCAGTGGGTACGTGGTGGTGGGTGGGTGGACTGATGATATTAAATAACCTAGATACACCAACACGAACAAAACCGTGGCCGAAACCTGTACAAAAGTTACATTGAACGATCCACGGAGCCCGGTAAGATGATCGCGTAGTCAAAAACAATATAAGGCATTATTTAAACATTGAAAAACACCTTTAATACATACTATCATATTATTTAAAACGCATGCGACAAAGAGTTACCGGCAGTTCGAAATGCAAGCTTATAAAATTTTACGACTTATTGCTATATGCAGAAGAATATAAACCTTATTTCTTAACTCTATGCGCAATTCTGAATGCGCTGTTAGCAAAATAGCAGGTACGGACCGCGAGGAAAAGAGACGACTATATTGCCGACAATGCATTTGATTATCACAATTTTTTTTTATGAAATCAGCTTAAAGTTAGTATTAGAACAAAATTGGCTTCAAATGTGTTAAATCAATAAACATTGATTACATAACTGTGAAAAAAACGACACCTTACTTACGTATTAAAAAAAATATGAGCCGTCACGGGACGGTAAAAGTAATATGCATAAAAGAAGAGATTGCGATAGGAACTAAATATGGCATAATGATAAAATAAAATAATAGGTACGATATTTATTTTCCAGAAAATGATGACTGTTTATTTAATAAACATTTATTTTCATTAAATACAAAAATCGAATTCGATTGCGCATGGCGATACGTCGCCACACCGTACACACTACTGCATAGAGACAGTTTAAATGTATATACCATCATATAGCGTGGTGACGCGTCGCCACGGCATGAGTCACCACGCCAGAAATCGGTTTTGCGTACGCCTATAGATGTTTTACATCATAATGGTTTTTTCGCATTTTTTCAAAGAGTTCTGCGGCATCTAGACTTATAAAATATTCGCGCGTGACTGTGAACAAAGAAGTGCTTGAGTGGTGTTCAAGCACTTCTTGATTGGGACACTTTTTGAGCGCACGTGGTGTATCTAGGGTACTTAATTTCGTTGACTACGACGACTTAATGATTAAAGCAAATTAATGCCTCCTGCCAGGGTTTGAATCTCCCGATTCTTTTACTTGAATATGTAATAGCGCTGGAAGAGGATAAAGGACATAAACAAAGTTTTAGACTAAAATTCATTCGAAAGTTGACCTGAAAACCTGACAGTGATCGCTTTTGTTTGGTAATCGACCGAAAAGATCTCGCCACTAAACTATAAATTATTCTTTTCGTGATATCTTGAAAATGTACATTTCGACTTCGACTTCGGAAAGGTTGCACAAGTTCAAGTACCTACTTAGGAGCTTAGGAGCTCAAAAAAGCAGTGCTCAGCGCATTCGACCTGCTTCATGGCCGCATAGGATGAGTGACGAAAAACGAATTATTGGACTCCCATGCTTCGAATGTCACATTGTTGATTCCGCTTCTATTTGCAGTCGCTATCACCCACCATACAGGTCATAGCCTATTCTCCCTGTTCCACCTATAAGGTAGGCTTGTGCCCCTTAGTGGAGGCATTATTAGGCTGATGATGATGTCACATTAACACTCGCTAAAACGTAGAGTGCGAGTTAAGCGCTATTAAAGTTTGTAGCTAATGAATCTAAACTTTTCCTGGTGATTTAGGTATATTCTCTTTCTGGATGAAAGTAAGGATTGATGGAGCGAAACTGGCATTTCGCGCTACATTCTCCAGGTCTCTCAATGTCAGTCACAGTACCTGCAAATATCCGAAGTAACTTTAATCCCCTAAATCTATCACTTACCTATGTAAACCTGAACATCATCGTAGTTGTGTTCTCTCCTTAAGCCTGGTTCCTCCACGTATGCCAACACTTGGTCAACGTTCAGTGTTATGTTATCTTCGTCTAACCTAATTATCAGCTGATGCCACTCAGCGTCGGCCAAGAATCCCGCATGAGGCACCAATCGGACCAAACGTCTAATGCTGTTGTTGTTCCGATTCTCACTCTTTTCACTTAGTAGTTCGAGAGTAGAGTTATTGAAGCTGAATGACCACACCAGCTTCAGGAAGCCGTTTTCTAGTCCTAGACCTAGATAATCTTCGTCCTGCGAACAATCGTTTCTGAAGTGAAACTTCTTTACGCACGCTTGACTTGGGGATAAGCTGGCGAATGCGTTACGTGTTACGAAAAGTGTGTTCGGGCGAAGCGAATGGGAGTTGAGTGGGGGATAAAAGCAAGAGAAAGCAGTGCGTGTGTTGCACATTTTCTTTCTCTCTTTCTCTTATAGCTAGTAAATGAAATATGTGTATATGTATAAACATATATTGTACACACACATACAGGGTGGCCGGGGAGTTGACGTTCAAGCGTAAATTTTAGATACCTTATGATGAGGAGTATCCAAATCACCCCATGTATGTTCTACGATTTTGCGTAGTTTTCGAGTTATAATATTTTTAATGATTTTTTTCGTAATTTTCACCTAACATCAGTTTTCGATTTTTTTCTACCATGTCATTACGCGATACAAGTGCGTTGTCATTTAGACCAGACCTACCCCAACAAGTGGATCGGACGACGAGGGCCAATTGCCTGGCCACCACGCTCGCCTGACCTCAACCCTATTGATTTTTTTATCTGGGGCTACTTTAAAGAAATTGCGTACACCAGAGAAGTTTCGAGTGAAGAAGAAGAAGAAAGCTGAAACCACTGTGAAAAATAACCGTGAAGCTTTTAGGCACCTAAAACATAATTTTTGCGCAGATGTAGATTGTGTATTTCTGTGGGAGGGCGAAATTTTGAATATTTGCTTTAAATAAATGTATTTTGTTAACAATTAACTGCGTTTTACTCAAATCCATCATAACTCATAGAAAGTCAAAGATTTAAATAAAATAAAATAATTATTTTTTTCCTTTGAAAATGCCTTAATTTACTTTGAAGGTCGGTTACAGAAAATAAACCCCCCTTAACCCTATCTTTATTTGGCCTTGTTTTAAAGTTTAATGTCTCAGGAAGTTTCTAAAAACACTTTGAACTCCAAATCCCCCCATTTACATTTTTATTTTGATACTTTGAAAATTTGTGTGTACTGAGCTCAAATCGTAATTTTGAACTTTCGAACAAATTCTAAGTGAATTCTGCAATGCCTAGATAAACCATAACTTTTAGGGCGCTAGGTTAGACTATGTTAGTCAATTATCAACAAAAAACTGAACCAGAAACGTCCAACAGAATGAGAAAAAAATCGAAAACTGATGTTAGGTGAAAATTACGAAAAAAATCATTAAAAATATTATAACTCGAAAACTACGCAAAATCGTAGAACATACATGGGATGATTTGGATACTCCTCATCATAAGGTATCTAAATTTTACGCTTGAACGTCAACTCCCCGGCCACCCTGTATATATATGTGTATATACATACAGATGGAGCTAAAGAAGTTTCACTTCAGTCGTGCGATCATAAGCACACTCGTTTTTTTTGTAACGTAAGGTTCATGTAAGGTAACGTAACATAACGTAACTCTCTATATCTATGGTTATTATACCTTTACCCTCTTAATAATAAACGAGGCAAAAGCTTATACGAGTTACGCCGTAATTTGTTCATATCAGGCAAACGCAATATTATGTGATCATAAAACATGGAGTAACCAATCCAAGCTATTTTTCGTTCATTAATTAGCAAAAGTTTTTTTCTATGGAAAACTTTAACTTGAATCCTTGTACTTATGATAAATTGCATGTAAGTCCGTTTGTCGACACCGAGCCGTCGTCACCGAAAAGGTCGGGGCCGAAGTAGCGGCACTTACATTTTCTATAGCAGCTATTCTACCATAAGCCCATCAAGTCACCCTGATCTCATACAGTAATCTTGTTCTCAGTGACGGCCACAGTGGACAAACGGCCTAATCGCCTGCGAATAGACCGTTTTCAAAATACTAGGTACTTTGTGAATCCTGAGGCCCAAGCACGGGTTTTGACTTTTCCGAAAATTATCGTAATCGTCTTTGATATGGAACAGAAAAAACCAGCTGATTGTTCTTACGTCCGATTAGCTTAGCTTAGTTTTCATAGAACTTTGACGATGCGATACCTTACGGAGCTGTCAATAACTCGAGCTTGGTCTTGGTCTCTTAACACGTTTGATTTCGTAGATAAATAAGCTCTTTCACCATATCAACCCACAGCAGTAGGCCTTAGGTTAGGCGGGCCACAGGTTATCATAGTTCTCTCACATATCGACCAATAGCAGTAGGCCACCCGTCTGCACTTGTGAAGCTGAGCGCGCGGTAGTGGAGCAGCTACGGCGATATCAACCCAGCCTCGTTGAAGTGGGGGATGGTTAAGGTTATTTCTATACGTAATCATAGTTCTCTCACCTTAGTTAGGTTAGTTAGGTTTATTACTATACACATAGCTAATGATAGTTCCCTCACCATATCAACCCATAACAGTAGGCCGACGTCTGCGGGGTGGTGAATTTGAGCGCGAGGTATTGGAGCCACTGCGGCGATATCAGCGCGGCCTCGTTGAAGTGGGGTTGGTTAGGTTTATTTCTATACACATAGGTAATGATAGTTCCCTCACCATATCAACCCATAACAGTAGGCGACTCATCTGCGCGGTAGTGAAATTGAGCGCGATGTATTCGGGCCGCCGCGGAGATATCAACCCGGCCTCGTTGAAGTGGGGGATGGTTAGGTTTATTTCTATACGTAATCATAGTTCTCTCACCATATCGACCAATAGCAGTAGGCCGCCCGCCTGCGCTGTGGTGAAGCTGAGCGCGCAGTAATAGAGCAGCTAAAACGATATCAACGCGGCCCCGTTGATGTGGGGTTGGTTATGTTTATTTCTATACACATAGGTAATGATAGTTCCCTCACCATATCAACCTATAACAGTAGGCCGCCCGTCTGCGCGGTGGTGAATTTGAGCGCGAGGTAGTGGAGCCACTGCGGCGATATCAACGCGGTCTCGTTGAAGTGGGGTTAGTTAGGTTTATTTCTATACACATAGGTAATGATAGTTCCCTCACCATATCAACCCATAACAGTAGGCCGCCCGTTTGCGCGGTGGTGAAGTTGAGCGCGATGTATTCGGGCCGCCGCAGGGCGCGCTGCTCGCCCGCACGTCTGTGCGGACCCAACGCGCGCCCCAGTGACAATAACGCGGCCCCGTTAAAGTGGGGCACCGTTACGTTTATCTCTATAGATTTAATACAAATGTTTTATGGGAGTGTTAATCGTGATAGTAAACGACAAGGAGTATCACAGAACACAAAAAGAGGTTAGAGGGGTGATCAGAAACTGTTTGTATGGGAACCGATGCCGCCGGCTCGCCTCCACTACACTTGCACCTAATAGATAATAACCAATCAAACGACGCAACAACAAACAATCGAACCAGTCAGCGCTCACACCCGAGAGCAATCAGAACCAAGTTTCACACATTACTGTGGCGCGCCTGCCCCGCCCATAAGGCCCTTCTAACCTTTTTCCGTGTTCTGTGAGGAGTATAACATTTTTTAAACGGAATTATTATTGTAAAAGTCACAAGAATTTACATTACCTAAGAATGTTCACGATTTGTAATGGGATGATTAAAAGTAATGTTTCAAATTAACACAGAGAAGCCACATGACGCCTACACCTGCCGCCCGCCAAATATACAGCGACGTGTCACTAGCACGGTGAGGTGGACAGAAATCACTCACTGGTTTCACAGTACGGGCCGCCGAAGCCAGCAGAGCAAACGCACTGCCCCCGACGGCAGTGGCCCCCGGGTGACGCGCACGTGGCACGCGTGCAGCCCGCGTGTCGCCTACACCTGGCGCCCGCCACGCCCCCTCCGCATATGCAGCGAGCGCGACCATTCTCTATCACGCACGTGCCCCCCGGACAGGATTCGCCGCCGCAAACGGTGCCATCGCAATCTGCCACGTTTTGACCCTCTGACAAAGGACACCAGAAGGAGTTAAGGATGTGCCATAGGAACGGTGCCCAGTATCTAACCTATCCTGTAGGTACTCTTAAATAAGACTTTCGATGTACCTTCCGGGGATTTTTTTATTATATGTTGCATTTACATATTATGTTACATTCCAAGGTAAATTAACTAAAGTGGAAAACAAAATCTTGCGCAATTCAAAAATTACACTGATACCACGGAAGTGGAAGAAAAGAAGTTCACTTGGTATGTGCGCCGCGATGCTGTGATGTGGACCCTATTCCACTTCTTTGCATAGTTGACATTTTTATAATTCGATGCACAGAGACAACCATCGCTAACTAACTTATTCAAGCTTATTCTTCGTTTAAAGCATTTTGGAATATTAAATTCTTGTTATTAATAGGGGTGATGATGGGGTAAAGTAAACGAAATTATCTTTCAATCGTCAGTTACAATTATTAAAATAATGGACATGTATTATTTTTTTCTTTTGTGTCTAAGTTTGTGAGCGAGGACGTCACTTCTAAGTGAAAATTGTACCAAGGCATGCAATATTTCAAGTCAATATATCTCTGTAATGTTTTGATTATGTGAATAAAGAAAAAATACGAGTCCAATATTTTTTTAATAATCTACATGATAGGTAACGAAAAAAAAATTTAGTTATCATCCCTGTTCCACAAACAAATGGATCATTAGTTTTTCATAAACAGTAAAATATCATAAGATTTATTTACTAAAAAAAATCCACGCGGTCTAGGCAGCAGACAGGACTCGAAACCGCACCCTCCGCTAGTCGAAAAAGAAAATCTTTAGATTTAAACATCTAGCAGTTAAATGCTTAAATATTTTAAAAAGTTAAATAACATAAACATGTTAGTTTAGTAATAGCGCGGATGAACACCGCATTAGGGTCTGAGCTAGTCAACGGCTCACAGTAAAGCGTTATTAAAACTAATAACGCTTCCAAGGTAAGACTTACATTGGATAGACACACAATTTATTTAATGACCTTCGCATTTGACCGTTCACGATCTCGAAATGTATTGAGCATAGATGTAGGTAGGTACGGCAAGAGTGCCGGTCTTTCACTTTACCTTTAATATTCTGGTGCTCCAAGGGTAACAGAATATTGTTCACGTGTAAATTTCTAATGCAGCCAGAAAACGATTCGGGCGGACCAGACATCACGTCGAAAGGCAACGATGACAAATCTTTTGCACCTCCTACAAATAACAGAAATGCGTGCTTTACTTTAGGATAGATGATATTTAATGCGTATCACACTACAAATAAAATACTATAATGTACTATATATATATTGTAATACTATAAAGACGAAAGTTTGTGAGTGTGTCAGTGTGTATGTTTGTTACTTCTTCACGACTAAACGGCTGGAGCGATTTTAATAAAATTTGGTATGGAGTTAGCTGAAACCCTGGATTAACATACTACGGGAAACATCCCTAATAATCCGCGGGTAACACCGCGAGGCACAGCTAGTTTCTAATATTTGTTTAAAGTGATCTTTTCAAAGGACAATGTTAAAATTGGCCTAAGAACCAACACCAATTTGGCATTTATGATAATTCTTAATATATTTTTTGGGATAATTATCAGTATTTAGATTGTGACGGACACTTCCAGTTAAGTAAGCTAAATTAAAGAGTTAAAAAATAATCTGAGACAATAAATACCATTTTAAGTGTATAATCTATGACAGCGCTGCAAACAAAACACTCTTTCTTTCTTATGCCGGCACTTCACTTGCTATTCGTATTTGCTATTTTAAAACATGACATCAGTCTGTCCTTTTCATTCCTTATTAAGCATGACAAGGACAAACTGTTGTCAAGCAAAGGGCCGGCATAAAACTCGATACTCTGTGGTTGTGGTGCAAGCAGGCAGTTTGCATTCGTAGTAATCTGTGGCATTTGTGCATTCCAAAGAGTAATATAATATACAGGAAAGTGCATTCTCGTTTCGGATTACCTGTTTACCTGTTGTTTGTGAGTGTTTATTTGCGATTGTTTTTCCTTTAATTTAACTATTTCGGCCATCGATGTTACCAAAGAGCTTTTTACCAAGTGCTAGTGAACTTGTGTCACAACATCCTGAGAGGATCATACTGCCAAATTATTCAAGAACACCTGATACACATTCACGCTGCATATTTACACAATATACATGTGATATACAAATAAATACCATATACAATATGATACAATTATGTGAAAAATAGTCAATAAATAAGAAGCAAGACTACAGTTTTTATTTTATTCATGATTCCTACCTATCCAAGGTTTTCCTAATAGTTATTCTTTAAAAACGCACCGAATAAAATGATGAGTGATTGATGAAATGAAATGATTAGTTCTAATATTAATTCACTTCATACTAAGTTCATAGGTTAACCTATGTTTCATTGAATATTAAACATAACCTCAAAAAACATTTAGTTTTCCTAATAATTTAAGTTCTCAGAAGTGTCCGTCAATAATCTTTGTTTTTACAGTCATTTACTTACGATTTCGAACCTAGAAAACAATATTTCATGATTGTTGGTTCTTAGGCTAACTATGTATGGACGCTGAACAATGTCCTTTAAAATGGTATAGATATAAGTATTTGTAGATACTATTATGTATTTTGTGATATGAAGTGCCGACCTCGATAAATTACATAGAATCGTCAATGATCTTATAGGGTTAGATAGAGCCTAAAACTTTTATATAAAGTGAAGAATTGGAAGGTTAAGAAAATACATATCACATATCCTTTGTTATCTGAGGAGATGTCGTTTAGCGTAACTCACAGTAAAATCAATGTTGACTTACACTGTCGCCCAATGTCTGTTATCATAGCTATTTAAAAAAGGCATGCTCGAACATTAAGGTCGTTATAACATGAAATTCCAAGTAAGAAATTTTCTTAAAATAATAAAATTTCAGTAAGCACTGCATTTTTCCAATAATTTACGAAAAATATTGTAATAATATAATCTGTAAATTTTTCGAGAGATCATCTTTAAACGGCGATTAATTAACGTTCTATATTTAGGATTATGTTTCTTTATTGGTCAAGTAGGTAATTGCCAAGTATACGGATGTAACGGCGCTAGTGTGGTGGTAGACATGCGCTACGAGCGAGTCTGCAGTGATCGCGCCGTCTACCCACACGTATAAGCGACTGCCATTACGACCCGCCTTTCCACTGTGCCATTGAGATAGTGAGACCACCACACCACTGCGGACTAGGGAAGTCAAACCCGACAAATTTCATGCGAGTTGCTCATTCCTTCCTTTATGTCTATGCACTAAACTTACCAAGTAGGACGGATGCATCGGCGCTATTGTGAGGGTAGGCGTGCGCTACGAGCGAGTCTGTATTGAGCGCGCCGTCTACCCACACGTATAAGCGACTGCCGTAACGACCCGCCTTTACGCTGTGCCATTGAGATAATGAGACAACCACACCACTGCGGACTAGGGAAGTCATCCCCGACAAACGATCTACGAATGAAAAAGTGACATTAAGCCTGATTCCGGCATTAACCAAATGAAATGAAATTAATTTACTAAATAAATTTAGAGAGAACCATGCAAGAATCAGTTCCATTACTAAGGCGCGTTATTAGCGGTCGATAATATTGGATGCGTTATTGTGATATTTCGTCATACTTCTAATTGCGTCGTTTTTATCGCAGCTAGGTAGTACACGGTTTGTATTTGTAGTCTAGAAAATAATTGAGACTGTCATGCTGCTGCTGCCAAACAACTTTTCAAAAACTCTGTTCAGAAATCGACGAAACAAAGCTAAAGTAGCCAATTCATTCCTCATTGTGTAGGGTTTCCATAAATTACGTGAGATGTTTAAGGTGGGAGGGGGTCGAGTCAAATCTCATCTAATCTTACGTTGGAGAGAGGGGGGGCTTCGGCAAATATTAGGCAATTTAAAAAATATATACAATTTTGGTCCATTTAATCCAGATTGTACATGCTTAAGATTTAATCTTAAGCGTAATCGTAATACAATTAAGATCATTCACTAATTCGTTCCAAAGAAAATAATTTCATTCATACTTGGACGATTACAATTTAAGTATTCTATTGTTAATTTTTTATTACACTTATAACTCTCAGCAATATTGATTACTAGTCTTAACTAGTCGTAAATAAAAGCACGAAGTAATTTATTTTTTTCTTTTTACAATAAAAATCCAACGCGTTTACGTAAGAAACCCACATTTTGAAGAATCTCACTTGAGATTGGGGGATGGGGTTGAATAAACCAGGGGGGGGGGGAGGGACAGAGAATTCAAAAAACACCTCACGTAATTTATGGACGTCCCCTAAGTAGTCTATGCTCATTGCGTAGGACGTCACAAGACTATCGGTCTACTCAACATTGAAGGAAGGTTTATAGTGTCTTTTCAAATAATGGGCTTACTATAAGTTTTAAAGAACCTAAGTATTTCATAAAGACAGAAAATGTCAGGCACTCACCAGTCCACCTATATTCCAGCAGTCCTCCTTGCAAGGACAGTGACGTATAGAAATGCGGTGTCTCCGCGAATATGAGAAGTCCTCGTTCTTTGGATGGCTTCACCTCTGCCTCGAATGATAAGCTCACGCTGGAAATGAGGCGCGGTCGCAATTCTATGTAAGATCGAGTGCCAGTGAATAGTACATCTGATGGTATTAAGTCTGAAAAGAGGAAAATATATTAAGCAACTTACGAATCTCGACCGCCAACAGGGGATAGATGTCTCCCAAAAAACGAAACAAAAATGTATACTAGCAATGCACTATGGATAGATTTGTTTGAGTCGAAAAGGCAGATTTATTTCTTGTAGCTGGCATCATTGAAAACGTACAGTAGACCCGTAAATGCTTGTCAAAAATTACCTTCGCTCCAAGCAAATTACCTTGATCGCAGTTTCGGTAAGTTTTCCCATAAGGACAGTCGCATTCAGCACCATCAGCGGTGAGTACGCAGCGACCACGACACGCTGTCACGTTGTGGTCGCAAGGATTGCTCTGCGATGAGCAGGTAGCGCCAAACCAGCCTTCGTTACATATACACCTGCAAAAATGGGAAATGACTGATTTTATTTATTTATTTTCAGTAAAATGCGCTGGGAATGGTAGGGATGGGTAAAACTCGCCGTCTATTCGGCTCAAATCAGATTACCTACTTCGCTGATAGCATTTTTTATCTAGAGCGTCAGGGGGCCATTCGCCTAACGGGATTGCTTTGGAAAACGCTATCGCTTAGGATTTCATTTTGTTATTTCTGACAGTTTAAGGTTTTCAAATACCTCACGGCCATTTTTTTTAATATTGTTATTAACAATGCAAAAGAAAAAAATGAGCGCGTGGCATATGAAAACCTCAGGTGGCTAGAAATAACAAACTGAAATCGTAAGTGATAGCGTTTTCCGAAGCAATCTGGTTAGGCGATTGGCCCCCAGGGCTGTGGTGTAGTAGCAGCTTGCCTACCATAAGGTGGACCATAATCTTATTTGCTACAGTTTTTACATTAAAAAATCGTTGGATTGGTCCGTGCAGTAAGTACACACACTACATTTACCTCACGCTGGATGCAAACGCCGCGTGACGTGCGGCAGAAGCATGCAGTACACTGCACCACGCCGCACTGCCCCACGCCGCGGCTGTGAGTGTTTCCCGTAAATTGCGGGTGAGTGGATGCAGACGCCGCGTAGCGCGCGGCAGAAGCGTGCAGTACACTGCGGTACGCCGCACTGCCTCACGCCGCGGCTGTGAGTGTTACCCGTAAGTGGCAAGCGAGTGAATGCAGACGCTACGTGGCGTGCGCCAGGAGCGTGCAGTACACTGCGCCACACCGCACTGCCCACGCCGCGGCTGTGAGTTTACCCGTAAGTGGCGGGCGAGTGGATGCAGACACCGCGTGGCGCGCGGCAGGAGCGTGCAGTACACTGCGCCACGCCGCACTGCCCCACGCCGCGGCCGCCGAGCGGGCGAGCGCCAAGCGACGCGCCGCCGACCTCCCACACGCAGCCTCGCCACCCGGCGTGCAAAGGCAGGTCGTGCGGCAGATCGTGGAACCCCTCGGACGGGTGACCACCTGAATGCCATAGAACTTTAATTATCTACTGTATCTTCGGTTACTAATTCTTCTACGAAGGCCACAAAGCTCGGAATCAAAAGAAAAACTACTATTATTTTAAACTTTTAGCTAATGAAATAGTATTAGTAAAAGGAGTAAAGATGAACCTGTCCACTGATGAGCAACAAACAAAAGATAGCGAGTTAACGTGTTGACATCAATATATACATACATATCTATATATATATATATATATAAATGTTACGTTGGTTTGTGTACGCTTCAAAAACTCAAAAAGTTCTGCACCGATTGAGTTGAAATTTTAACATGATATAAAATCCGCATCAAGCATTGTTTTTATCTATTTTTTGCATCAGTCACATATCTGCGACCGCGAGAAAACAGTTTTTTAACGATCAGCTGTGTACCAGTGACCGCGCCATCTGCCAGAAGCGAGGAAAACACTCGCTGACAACCGCAATAGTAATGACCAGTGTTGCCAGGTGTTCGGTATTCTACCGAACCGTTCGCTATATTAGAACCGTGTTCGGTGTTCGGTATGACAAAAATACCGAAGTATGGGCAGTTCGGTATATTTTTTTCTGATTAATTTTACTCCCTTATATACGATTCAACTATCAGATTTAACACAATCGGCAGTCAATGTTGCGTAGCATCCCTACTTAGTTTGTGCTGTATTGGCGCTTCGTGCACGCGTTCATTGTTTTTGAGCCATTTCGTGGATTGCGGATCGTGCATTTGGATGGCTGTACCATGTAGGTAGTAATGCTTATGTGGAAAGAGTATTTAGCCATATGAATCATTTGTTTACTGACTAATAAATTAAGTGTGGACATGGTGAAGGCTAAATGATGTAAATGATGCAATTACAATCTGATATGTCGTGAAATGCATGGGACATGTTAAAGAAAATAAGACATTGCTAGAAGCGTGCATTAGTGAGAAAAAAGACAATTTTATAATTTAGGTAAGCTAGTTAATCTTGTGCAATGGTACTTTGTATTTAATAAATAATGATTAAACTGTTTTTTTTTGCTCACTGTTCGGTATATATTTGGAAAAGACCTGGCAACCCTGGTAATGACGCAGTCACATGAGAAACAATTTCGTTCCCAATTACATTGTTTATTTACAAAAAAAATGCATCTGATTCTGATTATTATACAATCTGAATTAAATATTCACTTAAATCAAGAATTATTGGTGTGATAGTGTTGTGATCGAACTGCGCCTTTCACCAAATTGTAAGTAGAGGTTATAATGGTGTCGATTCTAGCATGATTCTCTAAACCTAAACCTTAATTTGACAGCAGTATATCCTTGTCATTTTCTATACAGAATGAAAAGGAGAGACTGATGTTAAATTTAGTTTTAAGTTGAGAGAATTACGCCAGAATTGGCACCAATGTTATATCAAAGATGGACAGTAAAAATAATATTTTTTTGCAATTATTATTTATTTAATATTAATTAATCAAATAAATAAGTAAAATATTAGTGAAATAATTAATCAATAAAAAAACATATTTATTATTGAAGTGAATCTTTTTTAATAATCGTGTTCCCGAGTCCGCAAACCAGATAGTCTATATCTACGCAGACAGTGGAAAAACAAAAAATATTGTATATCCACAAGTATTGCAAAATTAAACTTATATGAAATGTATTCTTTGTTTTGTTTCTCATTTCTCAACCATTCAATCACAATGTGCCACTGCGAAGCGTGGCAGGGTACAGCTAGTATTATATATTTATTGCATTCTTTGAGAAATTTCACATTTCACAACCACAGCGGTTCGTGTTAAATTTTTAAATACCCCGTTACCTATGTAGACGTAAGGCAGCGTTGTCATCTTGTTGTCGTGCGCGGGCGCGTTGCCGGACACGTTGTAGCGCGCGTCAACCGCGAGGCCGGCGGTCCGACCGCGTCGCCACACGCGCACCGTGTGCCCGCCACGCCGAGCGCTCAGCGCCCGCGATGTAAACACTCGTCGAGCTCCTATACAAATACCCCCAGATTACGTTCATCCACAGAACACAGAAAGAGATTAGTAGGAACCTGTAGGCGGCGACCTCTTTTTGAGTTTTGCGCATTCAGCCAGATATACGAACTGTTGGTCACACGATAGTTTTATCTCTCTCACACTTATCTGGCTATTTTTTATCACATTTATATAGGGAAAGTTCATGCCATTCTCTATGACTATACATTCAGCTAATTCGTATGAAAGTGCTACTCGTAGTTCCCATGCGAATCATGACATGGCACATAAAATGTGTAATGCGCGCACTTAAAAACAGATAGCTTCCGTTCTCGTGGACATTGACTCTTGTAGTGCCCATGAATCCTCCAAAGGCAGCTTCATGTACTACACACATTAAGACGTATTGCCTCAAAATGACACTTACCGCTCCCCATATTCCACGTCAGCATTATGTAGCCCTTCACGAAAGCTAGGGCTAGATGCTGACTTCTGGAATCGTGTCTGCCCGCTTGGCCGATGAAGGCAAGCAACGCAATCTGATCCATATCAGAAGTTTGGAAGCGCAGACGCAAGTCAAATCTATCCGAATTCATCGCTGCGTGTGACAGTGGGTACATCAGGTATGAAGATATTCCAGTACTGATCGGTGCAAGAGACGGCCTTGTTATATCAACGCCTAAAACAAAAGAAATGGTCTCTAAAAGAAATATTGTTTTAAACTTTCGTGATCACTTACATTATAGCATTTATCTTATTAACGGTATCGAGCGCAATAAAAGACTTTGGCGCAGGCCGATATATCTGTTAATAAAATCTAACCCGCAATTACTTCTTACTCCGTGATCGTGGCACTTGTAACAGTGCCTAAATATCAAGGAATCGCAAAAACAAGATAGCAATGCCGTTGAAATATAAATTATTATAATCAAAAATAAATGTTTCTCTTATGGAGAAGAACAGTTACAGATTCTGTGCCATAAATATACGTACTGTATTCGCAAAATATGCCATGCCTCCCGTAAGGGCAAAGGCATAGAAATCCACTTCCTGGATGCCGCACGCAACTGCCGCCAGATTGGCACGGGTTGTTTTCACACACCGACTCATTGCAAAGCTCACCAGACCAACTGGGAAAATAAAGTGTAGTAATTTAAAAAAATCAACTTTCTTGAAGTTGAAAAAAACCTAGAAGTAAGTTTTCCGGTGGTTATCATGAAAATGGCATGAAAGGCTATGGCGTGTTTTAAGAGAGTAAACTACATAATGTAGAAACTTTATTCATTCCTTTATGAAATTGCCACCAGACGGATTCTTTTCACACACCGACTCATTGCAAAGCGCGCCAGACCAACTGGGAAAATAAAAGGTGTCCTAGTACTTTTGGATTTATTCAACTTTCTTGAAGTTGAAAAAACCTAGAAGTAGGAAAGGAAGTAGCTTTTTCAGATGTGCCGATAGTAGTTGGGTATGAAAGGAATTGTTTTACGAAAGTAAACCTTGAGTAAACTAATAGACATAATTCATTTCTTTAAGAAATTGCTCCTCACTTTTGATGTTCTGCCTAGTTTACCCCACGAAGTATATGAGGAAAATGTACTGCTATGTTCACTACCAAAGAGAGATAGAATAAATTATGGTTTGCCCATGTTACCGTGGAGAAGGACATAATTTGGATCAAAAACGGGTTCATGTCATGTCCTTCTTCATGGTCAAAGTTTGGATCAAAATGGGTTCAGCGGTTAAATGTACTGTAGCGTGACAGACGGCGACTTTAGTTTAAATAAACCGATGGATTCTAATTACCCATTAGCACAAGAGCAAATGTATCCTCTTCCAAGATCGCTACAGGAGCCGCCGTTCAGGCATGGCGCCGATAAGCACGCTAGCGAAGAACATTCCGCTACATCTGACGCCTCCAATGCCTCACCGAACACTTCACGCTTCTCGCCATTGATCTGAATGAAAAATTTAATTTTGAATTAGTTATAAAACATTGTGGAGTTTGGTCCTATTTTCTATCCATTTTTGTACGTGGACAGACACTTTTGGAATATTCTATTCTTTAGTAATAGTAAAAAAAATATCCATAATTTTAACTCATTACAGTACTTTACTACAATTTATCAAAGGTTTGTTTCCAAAAGAGGTTAAGAAAAACATTACAATCTAAAAAGAGTCGTGTAGAAAGAGGGCGGATAAGAAATAATGGTTTGAAACTCGGCTGAAAACACTTAGGATGACTATTCGCCAAAAACTAGAGGTATTAGGATTTTGTACATATTCTTAAATCACACAGTCAATGTGTGATAAAGAAATACTAGAATCGCTGTTTAAAGACTAAACGGTTTATTGTAGTTTAATTTAGTATAGTAAGGTTTTGTTATTACAAAAACAATTATCATTGTGTTCTGCTTACTTTCAATTTAGAAATGCATCCGATAAATGGTTTATTATCCGGTTCCTTTGCGTTAGGAGAGTTCCCTAAGTGAAGTGTTGCGTTATGATCCAGAGATGAGATGTTAGCCACTTGACCACCGCTCATGGCCACAGTATCGTTGAGGCGTAGTGTGGCATTGCAATGTTGTTCTTTCAAATACAAGTCCAATCTATAAAGAAGATCAAAAATGTAGACGCTAGAAAGCTGATCAAAATAAGATAAAAAATGTCTACTCACCTCGTTTCTATTTTCATCAGATAGCCTTTATTGACGAAAGTTTTCAGTTCACTCAAGAGCATCGTTTGATAACCACACGAAAATTTGAATTTCAGCAATCCTGACACCATAAACAGTTGCATGTATACTCCTTTGGCAATGTCGACCTGCATCATTTGACCATCAGTTATCAAAGTCTTCGCGTCGAATTCTATATCAATTGATGTTGTATTCCGCAGCTTGTGGGTTATGTACGAATTGCCACCGAAAGCGGCAGACCTGATATCTATTTTCTCCTCGCAAAATCTTCCTCCATAATTGAAGTAGCAATTACACTGAAAATCAAAATAATCACTATTTTGGAATATTTTGCAATATCTAACGATAAAACAAAAATATTTATTTCTTTGCGTACCCTAATTCCATGTGGAGTATTTATACAAGTACCGTGATTACAAACGTTATCTGTACATTCTGATTGAATTGTTGTATAAAAATATGTAGTATTATCAAATCCTGTGCTTGTATCCATTGGTTCTGTCGTTGTGTACCCAGATGGAGTAGAATAATCTGTAATCACGTGTTCTGTAGGAGTATCCGTAAACATTTTTTGTGTGGTTGTATCACCTTCAGGTGTTGATGTTATTTCTGTAGTAACTTTTTTAGAAACAGCAGTTGTTTCAGCCTCTGTAGTAGTCATTTTATCAGGAGGTACAGTTGCAATTGTTGCAGTATCAGTAACTGTAACCACTGTTAACTCTGTGGTACTTTTTGCCGTTGTAAATGTTGTTTCTGTTTCAGTCACTTCTGTTGTTATGTCAGTTGTAGTTTCGAAATTAGTCGTAGGGATTGTCATTGTGATTTCTGATTCAGTTGCACAATTCTTACCGCATTCTGTTGTAATCTCGACTGCTTCAGTCGAATGCAAAGACAAAGTGGGCAGAGTTACGGTTATATCATCTTTGGACGTTGTAGTTTGGTTTGACATTAATGTAGTTTCCAAATATACTGTAACTGTGGTTGACGAAGACTCAGAAGTTGTAGGTAAACTTATATCCGTCGTTGAAGAAGTCGTCAAATCAGATATACTTGTTGTCCAAGGCTGAGTTTCTTCTGACATTGTTATGCTTGTTCTAGGCGTTGTGTCATTATACGCTTTTGTAGTGGAAACTGTGCTTAAATCAGTAGTGGTCGCATCTTTATCGGTGGTGATGAACACCGACTGAGTAGATACTGGCAACGGTGTTGGACTAACGTATTCACAGTCGTACGAGTCATCTTCAAGGATCAGGCATTCGCACAAGGTTCCTGTCAATCTCGGAGGGCATGAACATGTAAAATTATCAACACCATCAATACATGTTCCTCCATTCATACATCTGAAATTTTAAAGAAGATTTTCCTTTAACTGACTGAAATTCTATATGTTGATGGATGCTTTATCAAACAATGCTTTGAACACTCATTAAACCAATTCATTATTATCATTATTACCTAGGTCCCAATAGACACTCGTCGTATTGTAACTCACATCGCTCGCCGTGGTAGTCAGGGACGCAATAACAAACCCGCACTCCTTCCTCGACTACGCAAAGGGCTCCGTTGCTGCAAGAATTCTCATCACAGAATTCAATCTGAACCTCGCAACTTTTTCCCGTAAACCCTAAAAAGTACAGTCTTGGTAACAAACACGAAACGAAAATAAGGAAATTATGCTTTGCTATAAAAAGGTGATCAAATATAAAACTTACCGAAAGCACAAGCACACATGTAATCAGCATGAATATCGATACAGACGCCTCCGTTCTGACAGGGGTTTGACTCACATTCGTCTATCTGATCTTCACACTTTTGACCGGCCCAACCTGTAAATATTATTTAAGCACTTGCTTTAGAATTGAAACGGATTTTTCATATATATTTTGCAATGAAGGGTTAGCTGTTACCTGGAGAACATTTGCAGTAGAACTTGAATCCAGGTCCCTCGATGCATTGTCCGCCATTATAGCAGCGGACCTCTTCCGTGGAGTTGCAGACAGCTACGTCCAGTTCGCAGTGTTTGCCCGAGTAGCCGGGAGAGCACGAGCAGACGTAGTCGTTTGTCATGTCGACGCATGTGCCATTGTTCATGCAAGGATTCGACTCGCACTCGTTAAAGTTAGTTTCGCAGTTATCTCCTAGAGGGTAATGTAAAGTTGAAATGTCCATGTCCTTGAATAAAACCTTGAATACACTATCGCGATAATCACCTAAAGCATTGACGAAAAGCCCCAAAACTTCATATTCTACTTACATTCTTCTAAGAGGAGTAGTGAATAGCATATTTCCCGCTCGAATAGGAGCAGCCCCCCCCCCCCCCCCCGTAACCTTCACCTTCAGTGAAATAACACTACTTTTTGGTGGTGTGGTGTTTCTGTTGGTGAGTACGATTCCACGGGGTAGGGGATTGGATCGGTAGGCAACGGTGCGAGTGATATGTTTTAATATCGCAAGCGTCTAAAGGCTTGTAAATAAAGTACTTATATGTAATATCATTGCATAATTCCTCTTAAAGTAAAAAATAGTAAATTAAAAAAAAAAAAATTGGTGTCGATTTTGGCATGATTCTCTTAACTTAAAAGTAAATTTAACATCGGTATCTCTTTTTCATTCTGGATTCACTGTTGTCAAATTTAAGTTTAAGTTTAGAAAATGATACCAGAATCGACACCACCACCTACAAACCCATATTGAGGTCAGTGAAATTGTATTTTGTAAATTACCGTTTATTTATCTGCTTGACTACCGACATATTTTTAAGTTTATACCTTGTTTGTTACAGTTTTTTATTTCTACTTTAATTAAACAGTTCAAGTTTGTTTTTGATGAGTAATTATTACTAACGAAGTCCTTGTACCTACGGCTACAGTTGCAAGCTATGGTGGCCGCTTACTATCAGGCGGGCCATACGCTTGTTTGCCACCCTTTGACTAGACACGGTTCTGGAATTCCCAGAAAAGCAACAAATGAAATCATGAGAATATTCTTTAGAGTCTGACATACATTTGTTTTAAAATAAACGTTTTGCAATGAAAGGTTTACCAATGAATCCATCTGGGCAGGAACAGTTGTATGAGGCTATGCCGTCGACGCAAGTGCCTCCATTCTGGCAGGGATCTGACCAGCACTCGTCCCAATTCGTCTGGCATTGCACGCCTGTGTACCCGTCCACGCAATAACAGGAATATGTGCTGAAATAGGACACAGTGAAGGGAAGGAGTGTCTTCAACAAGCAATTTAAAAGCGGTCAAATAGTCCATCTTGAATAATAATAATAAAAAACAACACCTGTTGATGTCGTCGATGCAAATACCATGCTGACAAGGATTGCTAAGGCAGGAGATGCCCGCCGACACTAGTCGAGCCAACACCAACGTCCACCAAGCATGCGCAACCGCCTTGCCCCGATGCACACCCATCTTTGCCACCTCTTTTAAAAAACTATTGGCTGAAATGCGAAAATGAACACTGCCCTTTGTTGGTAAAATATTACGTATTTAATTGATCCCTGCTAATATCCAAATACAACTATAGTTAACGTTTTACGCATTAATGGGCTGCACTCTTAGAATGGTCTAAGACTGCACCCGATCTCGGTTTTCTACTGGTAAATAAATATGGTTTTGAGACGCCTCAATTAAGGTACAAGTCCGAACTGAACCGCAGACTGCAGACTGCAGGCGACACTACTAGTTTCTATGAATCTCTATGAAACTGATTCAGAGCGCGGCGACATGCCGCGGCTACACAATGCATATAATGCATGTTAAGTCGCAGGCGCTAGCCGCAGTGTCGCCTGCGGTTGTCGCCTGCAGCCCATTGCGGAATTGTACCTTAAGCCAACTTAGATGAGCAGTTTTTTGGTTAAATTATTCATTGACCATATTTTGAATTTAAAAGTTTATTTACGAAATTACTGTACATTATTAATTCAATTGTTTTTTTCAAGTTCAACATTTTATTTACTTACGTTTGAGGAATTAAGTACTTAGAAATATTTATTAATTTCAATAAAACAAAAGCAGCTATATATGCCTACTGCTTTACGTACCATCACAAACATAATTTTCCTTGAAACTCCTTGTCAAGTAATTAATTAAATTAAATTTTATCACAGCTAACAGTTTTTATAGTTCTTTTCACACAGTGAAATAGAAGTAGGTCTCCTCTCGAGCAAGTAGGTGTGGTGGTTTACTGTCATTGTTTCTATGGTAACCGTTAAACTCACAAAACGGCCTACCACGCACGCCGGTCGTTGAATTATTGATAAAATTTCTAAAACTACTACGATTACAAATCACAATCATTCATGCAATGAGGTCGTTTCTGACTTAAGGCGAGAGTCTAGAGAATATTATGTTATTTATACCTAGATTTAAAAAACATGTCTTTTGGTTTTTGGTGTTAATTTATAATAGATTAGGATGGTAAAAATAAATAAATTACAAGGGTTTATTGAGAGCAATATCAAATGGAGCAGTCAAAAATATAACTTTGTAACTTCCATTATATTATTATTTAAAAAACTTTTAAATTTCCCGCTTTTAAGAAAAACTATAAACACCCAATGTAAACGATACGAGTAACGAAAGAGTAACCACCTAATCAATCCTTTCTCAACTTTGTGTAGCCGTTCAAAATATCACACGAAAACTAGTTAACATTTAATTATTGAGATAAAAGTTAATCGATTTAATATTATTACTATTTAATAAACTCTTGAGAGATAATTGCGAAGTTTGTTATTAATGTTTAATTAATACTATAAGAATGCAACTGAATTTATTCTATTTTTATGACGATTTTTTAATTTTTTATGTTTTAATTAATTGTTTGGGACCGCAGGGGAAAAAATGGTCTGCGTAGTTTTTGACGAAATTTCATCGAATGCGGTTGGCGTATTAATTAAGTTATCTTAAATTCATTCATAGTGGCTATTGTGAAATAAAATTGGTATGATTTTGTGTTACAACTGTCTGCGCAACTGAAGAATTAGTGGAATCATTAAAATATACGCTATACCGGTGAAGTGGACATGAGAACATTCTTGTAGTGTTGAGTACCTCACAGAAGCTTATCAAAAATGCCAAATCACTACATTTCGTGCCAAACATTCCAAGAAACATTAGAATGCGTCACACGAATAAAATTGATGAAACTGAAGACTTGGCTGTATGGGTATTGTTCTCTTTGCATTGCCTGAAAAGGAGGATATTTAAAAAAATCAAGTCGGAGTTTTTGGCGGGATTTCATCGAGTGTGGTTGGCGTCGGGCTTTTTTGGCGGGATTTCATCGAGTGCGGTTGGCGTCTTATTTTAATTATTCTTAAATTCGTTCATAGTGGATATTGTGAAATAAAATTGGTGTGGTTTTGTGTAACAACTGTCTGCGTAACTGAAGAATAAGTGGAATCATTAAAATATACGCTATTCCGGTCAAGTGGACGTGAGAATTTTATTGTAGTGTTGACTACCTCACAGAAGCTTATCGAAAAAGCCAACTCGATACATTTCGTGCCAAACACGCCAAGAAATATTAGAATGCGTCACACCGATATTCTAATGTAAAAACAAAAAGAAGATAAATTTAATTAAAGACTAGGCTGTATGGGCATTGTTCCCTTTGCCTTCCCTAAAACGGGAGAACTTCAACAAAAAAAAAGTGGTTGGCGTCTTATTTTAATTTTTCATAAATTCGTTCATAGTGGATATTGTGAAATAAAATTGGTGTGATTTTGTGTTACAACTATCTGAGTAACTGAAGAATTAGTAGAATCGTCAAAATATACGCTATTCCGGTCAAGTAGACGTGAGAATTTTATTGTAGTATTGACTACCTCACAGAAGCTTATCGAAAAAGCCAGCTTGATACATTTCGTGCCAAACACTTCAAGAAACATTAGAATACATCACACCGACATTCTAATGTAAAAAGAAAAACAGAATAATGAGAGTTTTCCATTTAGAAAAAAAAAGTGGTAACAGTGTTACCAATGAAAAGTATTGAAGTTACCAAGCTTTAGTTGGCATTAGGTTTTTGCTATAGTATCGTCGACACAGTGCAACACAGTGTCGACTTTTTTTTTCTAAATGGAAAACGCTCAATTTAACTTAAGACTAGGCTGTATGGGCATGGTTCCCCTTGCCTTCCCTGAAAAGGTAGAACTTACCAAAAAAAAATCAAGGGGGTTTTTGGCGGGATGTCATCGAGTGCGGTTGGCAGCTTATTTTAATTATTCTTAAATTAGTTCATAGTGGATATTGTGAAATAAAATTGGTGTGGTTTTGTGTAACAAATGTCTGCGTAACTGAAGAATTAGTGGAATCATTAAAATATACGCTATTCCGGTCAAGTGGACGTGAGAATTTTATTGTAGTGTTGACTACCTCACAGAAGCTTATCGAAAAAGCCAACTCGATACATTTCGTGCCAAACACTCCAAGAAACATTAGAATGCGTCACACCGACATTCTAATGTAAAAACAAAAAGAAGATTAATTTTATTAAAGATTAGGCTGTATGGGCATTGTTCCCTTTGCCTTCCCGAAAACGGGAGAACTTCAACAAAAAAAAAATCAATTCTGTCATTTTGGTTTTTTGAGGTTTCATCAGTAAGATTACAAAAAGAAATTGCAAAATTACTAAGGTATTTTGTGAGAATCTAATAAGAGTTTTAGCTAACGCTGATGTATTCGTTATTCTTTATTAGAGTTCCTTTTCAATCTAAGTAATCATATCCAACCTTTGCTTAATTATAGTCAGTGAAAGTAAGTGAAAGCAAAAATGGATCCGGGTATCCTTTGTTTCCACCATTGTGAACACAAAGTTTTCTGCACTGTTATACCTGAAAAATGTCCCGTGTGCAAACAGCTACTTGATAGATACGATTACAATCTATTGCCTTTTAGGTAAGCACTGTGTACTTTCATTTTACTTGACCTACAACATGTCTTGTCTTTGTTATTTATTTAATGTATATTATTCGCCCTCGTTCGCTTTACAGGGTCCCCTATCCTTTTGTAAAAGCGTCTCAACATCCGCGAGCAATTGTAATGAAGCCTACTCATGGAGATTTTTTAAAGTAAGTTACACGGCTGATAATTATGTGAGTCACATCATGTCCTGTTTTCACAATGCTTATACGTATTGTTATCTTTTCTAGTGACTACTATAATTCGAAAGATTTACACATAGGTGTTACTAACTCAGAGGGATGTGTGGTAGAATTTAGTGAACAAGGCATTCAAGGAGTTGATCCAATCACAAAAAAGTGGAGTATCTGTGATACTAGCTCTAATTGGGACCAGTGTCTCCTTTTGGAGCAATTTGATGAGCTCTGGAATGAAATATGGGATAGTGTTTTGATTAAGGTAAGTTATTATTGATCTTGGTGTTTAGTACAAATCAGGGATGTTACAGAGCTTCGACTCTGACTCCATTAAGTCGGAACTTTCGATTATTATTACACCTTATGTTCCGACTTCGGCTCTGACACTTTAAAAAAAACTGGCAAGGCTGGTCTGTGTTATAAGTAAATTTAAAAGAAAAAAGGTTATTTTATAATTAAAATGATAAAAGGTTGACTGAATGATATTTTTAATTGTTCTTCAATGAAAAATATAAAAACTCCGACGACTTTGGCTTGATAAATTTACCTCCATTATATCCCTGGTACAAATATAGCTCTATTCATCTTCCACTGAGACTAGGTAAACAAACCATAAAAAGGTTTTATAGTAGTTCGAATTTCATTAGCATATAAGATCAAATTAAAGAAAATGACTAAAAAGACCTTAAACTGTGGCTATTCCCAAACTTTGAACTCATTATAATTCTACTAAATTGAAGAGAGTGGTGATAAAGCAAATACCTAGTTTATGTTAAAATGTGAAATTTTATAATCATTCTAGTTACACTGGAAATCTTTACTCTCAATAAAAAAGTTTTAGAAACATTTGTTTACATTTTGTCTCAGGGGAAGTTGAATAGAGTATAGATTTTTTTCCCATAATAATATATTGATAATTTAATTTTCAGGTAGCCTTAAGCCCTCTCTGGAAACCAGAAAGGTATAATGAAGAAAGGCATAATTGCTTTACATTTGTGTTAGCCTTCTTAAGAGCACTTGACTGTGGAGAACTATCTGAGAAGGCTCATGATCCCAAACTTTTCTGCAAACAATATGTTGTGCCTAGAACTTCTGCTGCAGGGAAATATATTTCTCTCTTTAGACAGTTGAAGAGACAAAATTATTTCATACAAGACCAATGATGAACCATTGTATTGGCAGTTTGTTCATGTTTTATAACTTATTCAGTATTAACTGTGATGTTTAGAATTTAAAAGTGGGTTTCTCATAAATTCATATTGCATTTAAAGTCAAACCAAACAATACTTATATTGCATTAAACTTTATCTACTGATGTTAGTAGTTACATCAATAAATTTTGTTCTGTATTAGTATTTATTTAACATTAATATATTTTTTAAATTTAATTTCTTATAGTTGTTGAAGTTACATAAAGTATGTTTTGAATGTAGCCACTAAGACCAATATGAACAACCAGTGATGTATTACGATAAGTAAAGTTAATGTATACATGGTTTTATCCAAGTTTTATATGTCCTTGTCTTGCCAAGACACTGCAATCATAATATATTATGGCTCTCATAGGCTCATCTTTGAGCAGTGATTGGAAATTTCACATATCTAAACATGTTAATTTGTTACATATTTTTGTTAGTGGACTTTCTGAAACTAGTTTGAAATGTACTAATAGTCAATTATAACTGTTTTTATATATTTACATTTTGATGTAAATTTTTGTCACATTCATTGGTCATTGTTTCTTAACATACAAAATACATAAATTATTGACAGTTAAAATGTAATAGATTTGTATGTTCTGAATTTAATTAATGTATTAGCTAAGACTTCATAACTAATTTGTTATTTACTGGATGATAGATGTAGTGATAATTGTGTGTTGTGGGTAGATTATTTATTCAAGGTTAGTTTAATGATTAATAGGTTTGCTAAACTTCCAATGGTGTCGATTCTGACATGATTCTCTAAATCTAAACTTAAATTTGACAACAGTATATCCTTGTCATTCTCTACACAGAGTGAAAAGGAGAGACATGTAAAAATTAGGTTGAAGTTTAGAGAATCATGCCAGAATCAACACCAATGTGTGTCCAAGAATAAAGGATGTTAGTGGCTTATATCCAGTTTACAGTGTTTCCCTTCAATTGCATTGATAGTTTTCATCACACTTTTGAATAATGGAATCTTCTTTAATGAAATTCTTATTGAAAATAGTTTAAAAATTGATTGTTTGTAGAAATTGCATGTTTCAGAAAGTATATTTTAGTTGGATCACTTACAGTATTATAATTGATGTATATATATTTTGCAGTCTAAGGCCTGTTTTAAAAGATCGCTCTCAACTCTCAACTCTAAGGGCGATCTTGAGTTTTTGTATGAAAACAGTATCTCAAGATTTTAGCCTCAGAGTTGAGAGCGATCTATTAATACGGGCCTTAAACAGGTTCCAAATTACTATCTATAAACTTTTTACACAAAAATTCAGCTCCATTATCTTACAGATGGGATTATTGGTAATTTATAATAAGTTTAAACTAGGGATGCCCCGATAAGCCTTTTTGCCGATACGATACCCGATGCCCTTATAAAAATATCTTCGTTACAGATATGCTTATTGAATAAGAAAATTAAGGTAGAATAAAACATAAGTCAAGTTATTTTTAAATAAATGTAAAGATAACAAATAACATAGCAAGTTAAAGAAAACCGATTAAAACTATAACACTTTTGCGTTTTGAAGTTGACATGACTTATTTATTTTACGCAAACGATTATTTTTAGCTGATTAGTACACGCAAACTAATTTACATTATGTTATTATTAATTTTATTTAAACGACAGATACTACGGGCGAAAACAGTCAACCAAGCGAAATGTGATAGTTCAGAGATTCTAAACCCGGGCGAAACAAGACACTGAATAAAGCGTGGGGTTTTCCCGAGCATAGTAAGGGCGCTTTAACAGTGCGGCGCCGGTACCGCGAACGCTCGACAACAGGCTGCTGCTGCACCGCGCGTTTTGTGTAAAAAAAAAAAGGATCGTCCGTACGCTGTACGACAAACGCATCGCTTCGGCCCCGCAGCAGGCCGTCAAGAAACGCATAAATTCGAAGCGCCCTTAGTTCGAACCTCGAGACAAGAGGCGCGTTTTATATTTTAAAACTGCGAAAGGAGATTGCTCAGCTTCCATACATGTTTGGCCAAAAAAGATCAATAATCATGAAAAATTGTTTCCTAGATTCGAAATTATATTTATATTATGATTTTATTTAATTTTAAGCATTTAATTGCTAGATGTTTAAATCTAAAGAAAAGTTTACTAGAAAAAATATATATATATATATTTATATTACTGTAGAAACGAATATTATTGACGGACACCCCTGAGAACTTCTATAAACCATATGGTTTAATGGCAAACCTAACCTCAAAATCATTCAGTGTATATCACTGAATCATTTTGAGGTTAGGTTTGCAAATAGGTACATAGGTATTAAAATAATAAAAAACAAAAAATTCATACAGTAAACTAGGGAAATGAAGCCAAGTACCGAAATTATATATTTAGATTCAGGTATATAGAGCAGGTACATTAACAGGTGCCTGTTTTTAAAGTTAATGCACAAGAGTAACTTTAAAATCAGGTAACATCTATGCATTTCCGGTTATAATAAGGTACTCTGTGACAGAAATTGTGTGATGATTATGAATGAGCCAAGGATTAGAGAGATTTTTTAAACTCCCGCTAACCAAAGAAAGCTAAAATATTTAGCTTATACAGTTCGATCAGTCTTTGGCTGAATGTTACTACACCCATAGCCATTAAAAATGATTCGTATGTTTTCCAAACCGGTAAAATTAAAAGTCCTTTTTAAAATGAATATATTAAACAAAGGTGTCCGTAAAAATCTAATGACTGTAAAATAAAGTATAAATTACGCCAAGAATTACCGTGTATGTCAATATTTTTTGTACATTTGGGCCAATTTGAGCAAATCTCCTTTCAAAAGTATTGACGAATCGGCCATAATAATATCGCCGATGCCGTATACTAAGTATCGCCGATATATCGGTATCGGATGCATCACTAGTTTATACCGTATTTTTGCACTAAATCCTAACAATTAAAACTTAGAAATTTTATAATGAATGTGACACTAGTTCCTATACTTAAATATCTAACAAAATTTGTAAAGGATCTCAATGACAATTTTGTAGGTGCTATGTTTTAAAATAAAGTTTTTGTTAATATTTTAATGACTTCTATTATTTTTTTAGGAAGGTATTAAATAAAAGATTTATTACATTTATCAAAATATATTTATCTATTTAATTTTAAATATAGTTAAACGATAACAGAAGTTGCATTGTCGAATTGTACAAAAATATAAATATTGAAGTGCTTTTACATGAAAAAAGGATAGATATATATACATTCAGGTCACTTTTTTTTCGTTACACTTTAACTTAAAATCTAATAAATTCTCTCAATAATACTTTTCAGTGTAGATCCAAGGGCCTCTCTAGTTTGTCACCTTGACTGGGGCTGATTCTACTCCAACCCAGAATACAGCTCCGTTGTAGGCAATGGTGGCCCTGAAAGAATAAAACTGCTTAGGAACCACACAACTAACAGGATTATTGAATAATTCACTTTGAAATACTTTCGTCATTTTCGTCGCAAAACGGAAATTCGTATAATTTATCTGTTTCGTATGTGTAGTCTATTACAGTTTTAAAACAGAAAACAAATGCAGCCTATCCCGCAAGTAAGTACAATATGTTCTATAATTATTACTTTAATTTTACGTAGTAACTAATCATGATAATAAGCGATTAATCAGTGTACTGAGAAGTGCTTCAATTTCGGACCCATTTCCTCGAAATGTGGTTAGAACAATCGTATTGCGATAAGGTCGAGATCTTCCGAACAATACAATATAGCGTTGAATTTTCACATAATGTGTAATTTCTATTGCCACTATAGGAAAAAATACAAATAAAAGTTGAAAATTATTCTGTTTTATACGGAAACGCGCTAATAACGACTTTACTTTCATCGCATTATCGACCCTTACGCTGTGTTTATTGTATGATCTACTTTCGACCCTTATTGTCTTTTGTAAGCGATTGTCTGATATGAAAATACATCTTGTACGATGGTAAGTAGGAAATCTCAATAATCTCAAAGTACACGCGTGCGAGTCAAACACTCGCATGTTCACTTTTTATTTAATAACGTTCATAAGTTTTTCCTGAACAAGGCCAATTAGGTATGTGATGTCTGTTGTCTGTCCAATATATATTTATTTATAAATCAGCATTTTTCGCACGTATATTGCATTTGCCACACAGTATCTACGTGCTTTATAATAATAAACTCAATTCGCTCATGTTGCATTAAGTTAGGTATATCTTTAATAAGATATCTTACTATTAGTGGGTACCCATGGCTCCCTATAGAGTAAGATCCCAAGACTGCCAGATCTTACTTATTTTTTCATGGACACAATATGAATAATCGAGTAGTAGTGTGTACAATGAACGTATACATACTCGCTAACTTGTGCTGTGGGCCAATTATCACGTATCAGGTGGAACAGGTACGTAAAAATTTTACTTACTTAGAGTCTGGGGACTCATTCTTACGCAAGTTGTTGGGAATATTGTAAACAATTTAAAAATTAATACTGCCAGACACATTCTGTCCGTAGAACTTATTGCCCGAGACTTTAAATGTCGAAAGCCAAACACTAACAGACACAAGACTTGACAAGACACACTAATTCTACCCGATTATCCATGAAAAAATAAGTACTACGCCATTTGCGTAGAATTATTGGTTTCCCATAAAATACTTTGTTTCCCTGTTTTACCCATTTTTACTCATATTTTAATTTGAGTAGGCAAACTATAAGCACGCCCTTTAACAGGTTCTTTATATGCACACAGTTCTAAGAAGATTATTTTTTTCAGCATTGATTTTTGGCGGTATGTAGGATGATTGACGGTTTGTTACCTGAATTTAATTTCGTCGTTGAAACCGGCGGGAGGGGTCCAGGTGAAGGCAACAGACTGCTTGTCGAGCTTCTCATCATGTTTTTTGTGTGTTACGGCATTCTGCAATGAAACGACGTATTGGAAAAAATGAATAAGCTTCATACTGTTTGTCACTTAATAGCGGAGAAACAGAATTGGTGTCTTTACACAGTATGTTTTATCATGGTTACTAGTATAGTATTTATTAGCTATATTATCTGTGTTGTATTTTTATAATCTGTTTTTATAATATAGTAGGTATGTATTGTGTCATGGTAGAAGTGCCACCCTAACAGAGGTGCTAACAGAAGATAATTTTGATCTCAAAATATTCGATAAAGCACTGTAAAAATAAAAAATGTTTCGTATTTGTACCCTAAAAATTAAATCCTCACTGATAAAAGTACAAATAGATCTTGGGATAGGGAGACGTTCCGTCCTCCTTACATTGTTTTCGGTTAATTAATTCTTTACAATAGTAAGGATAAATTCTTGACTTTATACAGCCCTTACCGGTCATTGTGAAAGTGGCTTAACTTCGCAGATTGAACGTATGAACCCAGGTGCTTATCGAGCTCATCCATTATACATATAAACACTAGTGGCTTCGTCTGGGTGGAAAAATTGGTTTCCCATTCAAAATTTTCACCCCTTTTAAATGATGATTTCTGGGATTTCCTTTGTCCTTCCCCGGGACTCAAAGTATCTCTATTCCACAATTCATCAAAATCAGTTCAGGTGTTTAAGAGGTAACAGACAGTCGGACAGACACTTTCGCGTTAATAATATTAGTAGTATGGATTTCCGGAATTCGTATCTACCTACGCATTCGTAACTAAGACAGTTCATTTACCCGATCTCCAACCAAAGTGGTCAAGGTCCCTTTATGAGGTAGGCTTGAGGCTGGATAGCTGCGGCTACTGTTTTACGAATAATAACGTAATCGATGAATAATATGCAGTTTCTCACGCATTTATTACGTGTGATTTTGTTGGAAGGCCGCACGGTTGACGAGTTCTATAGGTGCCTACAAGGTGCCTATTTAATAAGGTAGTAGGTACTCAAGTAAGTACCTATTTACTAGGCTTAATATGAATTTCGTGATATACCAAAGAACGCTTTTGTTGCTTTGAAGTAATAGCGTAGGACTGGATACGGTACGATCACAAAATGTGGTACGGCTCAATCGATTACAAATTAAACAGAATAAAATTATAGTTTTTAGTATTTGTTTTGTATGTAGGAAATTGTGTTGCCTGTGTAGTTTTTCATATACGTATGTATATGAAAAAAAAACCGTTTTAATTAACACTATTTCATGCTTATAGAAGTCATCATCATTGCAAATCAAATACTTGATTTGTATGTAGGAAATTGTGCTAAAACGGTTTTTTTCATACATACAATACATACAAATCAAATACTAAAAATATAATTTTGTTTTAATTGAATTACGTACCTATAAAGGTAGGTAATTCAATTACTTTACAACGGGAACATTAGTGTAGGCCCCCCTACTTAATAATTTTAGAGGGTCTCCAGCAATCTTTGCTTTATCTGCCTACATAATTAATAATAAACAACTATTAAAACATAAACATGATAAATTGCAGAGCTCTTAAGCCAATCCGGCTGACCTTTCACACTGCTAGCCTTGGATGTAGCAATAGATGACTCTTTAAGCAGAATTAGGAAACCTATCGTAGCCGCCATATGGGCTAGTACTAGACTAGGCAATTTTGGATCTTCTCTTCTGTATAAAGTATTCGCGACTTGTAGAAGATCCTTTAATTAATGTAACAATACGTCGGAGTTTGATTTCTATTGTTGTTTACATAATAGTTAAGTTGGATGCACTTGATTTGAAAGGAAAGTTAAAATCGAATGTTAAAAGAATTTTGTTTCGCTGTTATATAAAACTAAGTTATAAATAGAAAAGTAACTTACTTAACATGCAAACTGTTTATTTATTATTGTAAATATTTGTATACATTACAGTAACAGTTGTAACTTACTATAAAAAAATCAAGGAAACTGCCTACCTACTTGTCTTAGTTCTCACACAAACAGCTTGCTGTTAGATCCTCAGATTTGATTTGAGATTAGACCTTTCATGCACAAAGCGTCTTAGATAAAATTGGTTTAATCTAAGCATAGCGTTATTATTTTTACACAACTGACACACATGACAATGATTGGATTAAATTGCTGTTTGGGGATTACTATAATAGATATAATAATATTCGAATGTTAGTGGTTACGCAGTAGGTACATTTTTTTGCTCTTCGGGCTACATTTTAAATATGGTTCTCAGGCGTTTGTCATGAACTAAGTAGTTATGTATGTATAAATTCGCCACGGTTCTATTTTTTAAAGATAATTGCATGTGACTAATTAACTTTCAATGTTGGTATGGAGAAAACTAAAATGTGACGAATTAACTTTGTGGCGAATGTACAAGCTGGACATTAGCTATAATTACCGTCCGCTGTTATGCTCTATTTTTTACATTTCAGTCAAAAGAAAAAGCTAAATCTAAAACAAGTTAAATTGTTTATTGTATTGATATTATTATTATTTATAGTTACAGTATTTCGGTACCCCTAGTACGAACCAATATCAAATTCGTATCGTTTGCGAGTCCGTCATTGTCAAATATGTACTGATTTTTATTTCCCGTTACGTACTTTGTGCCGCTGCTGTGCAAGTTTCCATACAAAATTTGACATTTACATTTCGGTTTGCAAACTATTTGAATTCGATAATGGTTCGTGCTAGGGGTACAGAGTTCAGTATATTTTATTTAAGTAGAAACGTTTTTGTTCGAGTACTGTTTGCTGTAATGACCATATTAGGCAAATATATTTGCTCAGAATGCCCGTTAACGCACTGTTGTCGCATTTATATTCTATCCTTAGGTGGTATAGTTAATGAGATCTACATTTACAACAGGAAATACAGTAACTACAAAAAATATTCCTTACTCGGTGTGAAGGTTAAAGACTGTATAGACGAAAATTAACAATTTTTTGTTACCTTGACCACTACTACCACTATGACAACGTACGTTTTATTATATGATTGACTCAAGCATGTCGCATAACTTATGTATATTTTATACAGGTAACCATATTGAATATAAATGCGTTAAATTAATGAGATAGACGAATAAGCGACGGATCAAAAAATCTTTATAAATTTATCAACTCATCTAATTTGCAAAAACTACAACTTTATTGCCTGCTAATTACAGGTAAATAAATACATAAATTGATTAATAAATAGTTTAAAAAATAGGGTCCTTTTGCATACCTGCTATCAGGGAAAAGAAGGAAGGAAAAAGTGAGAATTGCATAAAGCGAATAACGTTTAAAGAAACATTTTACGTCTATAATTTTCTAAATATGTAAAAATAAATCTACTTATTTTTGAGGGCCAGGCCTTATAATGAGATACACTGTGCCTGCCTATCGGAGATTTGCCCCATTATTCTGAGCTTGACCTCAAGAACTTCCATCAATATTATTTAAGTCCTCATATAAAGGGCCTCAAAATGTCGAAACTACCTACTTACCTACATATTTAAAATATAATATTTCAAAGGAGATTGCTCAGCTTCCATACATGTTTGGCCTAAAGACCAATAATCATGAAAAATTGTTTCCTAGATTCGAAATTATATATAAATTACTGTAGAAACGAATATTATTTCGGACACCCCTGAGAACTTCTATAAACCATATACACTGAACGATTTTGAGGTTATGTTTGCAAATAGGTACATAGGTATTAAATTAATAAAAAACAAGTAAGTTATACGGTTAACTAGGGAAATCAAGCCAAGTACCGAAATTATGTATTGGATTCAGGTATATAGAGCATGTAGATTAACAGATAGTTGCCTGTTTTTCAAGTTAATGCTCAAGAGTAACTTTTAAAATCAGGTATCATCTATGCATTTCCGGTTATAATAAGATACTCTGTGACAGAAACTGAGTGATGATTGTGAATGAGTCACAGATTACCTTTTTGGTTAAGCTATATTATTTTTGTTATGTTTATATTATAACCATACTTTAGATTTTTAGTGTATCACAGCTTATAATGGAGTGTTTGGCGAAAAATGTATGGCAATAGACTTTGTGATGTCACCTACCATCTATAATAATTGTCTTAGCACAATTGGATGTAGTGAAAATGATAATATAGTTGTAGATATTAATACCACAGTGTAATTAAAAAAGATGTTTTATTTTATCGATCTTTACAAAATAGATTTGATTTTATGTTATATTTACCAAACAACTTCGATCAGTCTTTGGCTGAATGTTACTACACCCATAGCCATTAAAAATTATTTGTATGTTTTCCAAACCGGTAAAATTAAAAGTCCTTTTTAAAATGAATATATTATACAAAGGTGTCCGTTAAAATCTAATGACTGTATAATAAAGTATAAATTACGCTAAGAATTACCGTATATGTCAATATTTTTTGTGCATTTCGGCCAATTTGAGCAATCTCCTTTATAAGTTATTATTGACCACCACATTACCACATTCTTATAGTGCAAATATTCGGCTTAGAGAGCAGTATATTTTTCTTTCTTTAGCGGAAATATTGCGTGTCTATATTACCTACCTACCATGGATTTGGATTTATTTAACTGATTTTTTTTTAAATCGTAACATGATTTACTACATAGTTTGACGCCTCAGCAGTGTCGTTCACCTTCTAACTTGCTTTTGGCGATGAAACACCATGCAAGACCATATATATACAACTAGTTTGCAGAATTTAAATGCAGCGGAGTGTTGCTTTCCGCGACCCCCTTTAAAGTTTCTTACCCATAATATATCAAATGAAAGAAATCGCAGAAAGAGTAAAAGCCAATAGTTCGTTACAGGAAGGGACAATGAATTTAGATAGATTGCGATTAGATAAGTGAAAGGAAACAAAAAATAGATTTACCTAGGCAAAGCAGCTATAACGAGTATCGGAGGCTGTTGAAGAGTAAGTATCAAAAGCATATTTCGTGCTTGAAAATACTTTATTTTTATTCGTATGGAAGTTTATGGAGGATATTTTGAGAAACAAATTCAATTTTGGCTCAATCATAACTACTTTATTTCTTATTGATTGTCTGAAAAAATGGAAGTCTGAGTTAATCCGTCGATGTTGATATTAAGTAGTTTTTTATAATAGGAAAGGTTAGAACCTTTCCTTTCTAAAAAAAAGTCACAAAAATTCACAACAATAAAACGTCTTATATGTACCTACCTAAGTTTTATCGTTTATGTTTTTTCAAAGTTTTCTCGCGGGCTTAAAATTAGCTAACTTTATAGTTTATGAAGAGTATGAGTTTTATGGTATCTTTGAGTTGCCAAACAAGGCACCAAAGTAAATTTTTAGATAGAAGCTTGCTTTACCAGAGGGCGACTATATCGTGACCCCATCCATTTTTCGGTACTGTTGAAAACACATCCATACATAATATTGTTGTTTTACTGTTTCTTTTGCAAAGTGGTAAATGTACTTACATGCTCAAATACGAAAGTAACTTGAGCATACCACTTTACAAAAGAAGGACTTGGCCCGGGTGAACAAGGAACAACAGAAAGAACCGTTCTTCACTCGTTACAAATATTATTCGGCATAATCTTTTTTTTCGTTCTTGGATTTTCGTTGCCCTTTGTTGCCTCACGCCTAGATCAACCGCTCTACCTTGTGCCGGATCTGGCTCTAGGGTTTTTAAGTGTTTTTACTTACCTGGACTTAATCTGCCTCGGTGGCTATGGTTATACCCATACCACATCTCTCTTGGTGTGTTTTATAAATTAAAAATGAAGATAATGTTTTATGAATTAGGTAAAGCTAAAGGCAATACTCACTCCTGGAGTGCCGCAGTTGAGGAGTTGCGCGAAGTTGTCGTTGGGTGCGACTGTGAAGGTGCCCACCGGCTTGTCCCCGTGGCGCGCCTGCAGCAGCAGTCCTCTGATGGTGTTCGATGGACCCTTGCCGGAGATTACCACCTCCATAGGAGTGCCGGCTTTTACGGTCTGTATAAAGGTTTAAAGTTATTTTATTATTAAAAGGCTTCACAAAAAAGGATTGTTGATGGAAGAAGAGTTTATAAGCAAGAAGAATCCGACTATGAATTTATTTTTAGGAACATGGTTTTAAAGTTTAACTAATGAAATAAAAATAATATTCGTTTTCTCTATTAACCCGTCAAATATATTTTCCAATTTTCCAAATCCCGTTCATAACATGAAACTGCATGAAAATAGACATTATATATATAAAAACATACATTTAGAATAAATATTCTAGGATTGATGCAAGTTCTCTGGATACTGGCTCTATAAGTGTTGTGCATTTTAAAACTTTAAAATGGTAGCGAACACCATTTATCGTATAAAGATTATTAAAATTTTCGGAAATAGCGAAAAAAAACAGACCTTAGTGCTGGTGGTAATCACATATGGGGCTGCAGATTTCTGCGGGGGCACTGGATGTTGAGGGACCATGTCCACGCAAGAGTCAGTGGGTGCGCCGCTCGAGTAGGCTTCGACGCACGCGGCCGCCACCAGGGCAACACCAATGACACATAATACCCTCATGCTTGGATCTCTGCAATAAAAAAATTTCCAAGGTGATTTGTTAGTTGTACTTAAATTAAATTGACAGCTAGTTGGAGCAACTGGCTTCTACTTCACAGGTCCTTGGTTGTGTTCGAATCCTCGAAGGGGCCATTTGCTTGTGTGACGAGAATAAATATTCTTTTCCCATACAAATGCAAAAAACCTGTTCTTTTTTTTAAATGTAGTAAAAAAAGAAAAAAACATGAAAAAGGACATGTTTTTTTTCTGGAGCATGTTTTTTTTCACGAGTATCTACAGAATTCAAGGAGAAAATCCTCGAATTCTCAGCTCGGTTTTTGTTTGTTTGAAGTATGAAAACAGTTAACAGAGCGCATTTACATAATGTTATTTTTGAAAACATATTGTGAAATAAGATATGCCTTATCAAAACATTTTTGAAGATAGATTGCTTGGAAAAAAAAACTAATTTAACAAACAACCAAATAAAAAGTACATTAAAATTTAGCAAAAAAGGAAGTGCTTATTGTACTTAAGTTTTAATACGATAGTAATTTAGTTTTGATAGTACAAAGAGTAATAAGTTTTTCTAAGTTTGGTAGTCTATTAGGAAAATTCTCGCGAAGTACTGTATTCAGGCAGGCAGTTTTTATGTACTACTATATCTTGTGAAAGTTAAAGTAATAGGGCCAAGCTTATGTTTCTGTTAAGATTTATGATTGTGGAGGAATTTACTGGCATGGGCGTAGTAGTAGTTGGAGAGGGCCCTATTATTAAAACGTATTTACCCCCCGGTAAATACGTTTTAATAATAGGGCTTAATTTTACCTGCTCAATTCACTGCTGTTTTATAGACTGCATGGGAATATTGGTGCCGAATGAGTGTATTAGTATACCTTTCCGAATTTTACTGTAACTGTAACGCCACTGGCCATTTTTTCTTGTTTGCGTCTATCAACAACGTTTTATTTAATTTGATAAGATCATTTATAGATATCACTCTATAATATAACACAATGATGGATAACAATAACTATACATTAAAATTACATTAAACTTAGCCTTATAGTTTATAAAACAGTAAGCCATTTGGTAAGTGATTAAAATATGACCAAGTATACTTACACACTATTTATGTGGTAATTACTTCAAGTTAGGGTCAATAAACTACATACTTGCTCAAGTGTATTTAGGTATGTAAACTTCAATCACGCAGTGCAAATTGTATTTAGGCAACTAATCGAACGGCTTTTTTCGTCAATATTCTGACACGGTTGCGAAATTTTCAAGAGTACCAAAGTGGAAAAAACTCATGACTCAAGGAAAAAAAGAACTGGCCTGGCCTGCTATTTGTGATAACATCCTTTTAAAAAAATGTTGAGAACCTGTAAGTAAAACCACAGTAAAACAATGACTGGCTGATCAATGCGTCATGTTCGCTAATGAACGCGTGTCGCTTGTGGAGATGAGTGTTCTGAAGGACTGAACCAATTTACTTGATTTTCGTAAAATTATGAGCATATATGTCCATAAAAAGTACAAAATTAATTGATTTTAAAGATTTAAATGGTTTGTTTTTTGTATACAATTGAAAAATTAAACTTGAAGAAAAATGCAAAAAATCCAATCAAATCTTACGGATTCTTCTTCAGGTCAGGATATCGGGCAGTAACATTAAAAAACAATACAATTCTGTTAAGGATGCGAATACAACAAACAAAAAATAACATATTTAAATTATACATTATATATAAATTGTTTTAGTATAGTATAGTTCTTAAAGTTGCAAACTTCCACCGAAAAATGGTTTAAACGAGATTTAGATAAAAAATAGTTTTTTTTTAATAAGTATGTCATATCGAATGAAAGGTAAACCGCAGTTTACCTTTCATTCAATCAACTCAAATATAAAAATAAAATATTTAATTTCATAAACCTTATGCATAAACCGTGAACCATTATTTTCTAACCCTAACAACAGCTTTTATATTATGTTACTTGCTGCTACGGAACCGTTCATGGGCGAGTCCGACGCGCACTTAGCCGCTTTTATTTTGTGGTGAATTTTCATTATTCCTCTTTTTTTAACAATTATGTTTTAAATTTTGAAATTTTCCTGTTTTGGTCAGTATAAAGCTAATTGGCTCCGCTACTTGGGTATTTACCATCTCAACTCAATTATGGGCATTCTCTGGGTCGTTTCTGATATCAGAGTCTCTAGTCTAGAAGTTTTTTATACACTGACTGATTGACTTGACTGTTTCTGAATATTGTAGTAAGTAACTAAGTAAAATAAGTTTTGTTTCCAAACAAATAAATAAATATTTCCAACACTCACAACAATTAGTCTAGCCCCACAGTAAGCGCTGTAAGGCTTGTGTTATGGGTTACTAGGGTAACGGATAGAATACATATTATACTGTACAAATAAAGTATATTTATATAGAAATACATATTAAAGATTCATGACTGGAGTACAAATTCTCGTATTCATCACACAAACATCTGCCCCCACCGGGATTCGAACCCGAGACGTCTCGAGTTGGCGACATCATGAAACCCAGCGTACAAACTACTCGGCCACGGAGGTTATCACCTCCACTCCACCGTCACCACCATGCCCCACGGTCACAATAGGTAGGTACAAGAATGGCGGTTCAATCTTCCATGTTTCCGATTTCCTACCAAGAAGGCCTTCGTAAGAACGAAGTAAGTATGTATGTGTATTTAAGCATTCTGATTTACAATGACGAATTGATGACTAAACTAAACATAATAAAACGTGTCAACCTACGGAAGCTGTAACTTGCATTGCGTTTTCCATTGTTATAACACCCTTTACAATCATATCAATAATTAATCGTGTTTATCAGAATGATTAATTGTCCTTAGGTCACTTAGGTACCTACTTGTTTCATCTCTAAAGTTAATCTGCTTAGCAAAATAAGTTAATACTCACTGTTTCAAATAAGATTTTTGTGAATGTTATTAACGAAAGCTTTAGAATGCTGAGTTGAAATAAAAGCAAGCAGTGCACTTAGTTTATATCTGTGTCAGGGTCCTTACTGTTCTCCAGATGACAAGTTAACGTAAAGCAGCTCGTCTAAGGACTGGTTCTTTTCACGCCGAGCTGAGTGGCGCAATTTGACGATCGACAAGACGATTTCGTCAAGTCGTTGCATAAATATGTAAAATAAATAAACAGCAACGTATCAATCGCCACATATTCGTGCCGGCTTCGCTGTACATAGACAAACTACTTTTTTCTCGACTTTAAAAAATTAATCACGAATAACGATCGTTTGAACAATGGTTCAAAATTAAGTACAAAAAGTTTAATACAGTTGAATAGGTCCGCACTTAAAAGATAGCTATTCCTTTACCTTGTGTTTTTTTATTATTATTTTATTATCTAAAAAGAACAAGAGCGTCCGTTTAGAAAGTCATCAAATAACAATGAAGAAAGAAACAAAAGAAACTTGATCAAAATATTTCTTTTCAATTCTCTTAATTCCTCCATAACTGTTGTAGGTAATGCAAATAGGTAATTGCACGACAGTTTTAAAATCTATTCATTGATAAATAAATATGTTAAAATTCAGAAAAATGGTTTGCAATTGGTATTAGTACTAAATTAAAAGTTATAATGTAAGCATCTTTTAAATTTTGATCATTACATAACAAAATACTTGACTGGTTTAAGTGTTATGTTGACGATACTTAAAATGTTGAAGAAAACGAAAGTTTTTAGCTGAATTTACAAATTTTAGTGCGGTGTTGTTTGTAAATTGAGAATTGAAAGTAAATGAGCCGAAGTAACACAAAGCTTAAATTTTAAACTCAACAAGTTTGTTAAAAAAATGATTTGAATATTAGCTATATGTTCTGTTCAAGTATCAGTAATGGGCAGAATATCCAATTAAAGGTGACCTGATCTTGGCACATATGAAGACTTAAAGAATGTATGTAAGATACAATGATACAGTCTACTTTTATTTTATTTAAGTTAAATTTGTTTATAATTGTTCAGATTGTCATAATTATTTCAAAACTTCGTCCGCGTTAACAGTTTTTAAAAATCCCTTAGAAACCTTCCATTTTTCTGGGATAAAAAGTATCCTGTCTCAATCCAGGTCATAAACTAAATGCGTACCAAATTTAATCCAAATCCTTCCAGTGGTTTAGGCGTGAAAGTGTAACAAACAAACGAACAAACTCACTTTCGCATTTATAATAAGTATTAGTTAGGATCGAAAATGAACATGCTTCTATTTAAAGAAAATTTTACTAGAAAAATTTCCACGCGAATCAGGCAGCAAACGGGACTCGAACCCATAAAAATGAATATTATAACTATAATTGCTATTTCTGCTTTCAAATGCTTATGTTATTTTTGTTTGTGTTGTTAATTTTGTTTTGTTAACAAGTGTTAATTTTTCTAGTAATATTTTCTTGAGATTTAAACATATAGCTAAAAAATATTATGCTTCTTTTCGTTTTAATAATTATGTAAACGTAAATTAATCCAAAATTTAAGTAAATTATTACTTAATTTTAACAGAAGCTCGATTTGTACCTTTATTATATTTTTTGTAACACATTTTAATTCAGATCAATTAATCGAAAACGTTAGATAAAAAATACACACTTCAATCGTATTTACCTTGTAAGCCGTGTACACGTAATGTGGAGAATGCACGCGCGTGCTTCGATCGGCCACCGCTACTATGAGTAACACCCCATCACTCCGCCTAAGTTATATATTACAGTTTAACAGCGAACTTAGACCTGTGGAAGGGCGAACTAGTGTTGGGAAAATGACTATTGGCGGATAAATTCACAAAAAAAACAAACGAGGCGAACACGAGCAAGGGCAGAGTTGAAGTTCGAACTCCGTATAAAGTACCTACAAGTTGACAGTTTGAACCACAGTTTGAAAAATGTTACAAAACTGATATTGTTTTCGATGTTTTCTTCCAATATTGATTTAATGTGTTATTTTTCCCCCTTTGTAACCGGCTCAAAAAGGTGGTTTTCAATTTGTCAGTATATTTTTATTTATTATTGTTCGCGTTATCTCCGAGATGGGTGGACCGATTTTGATGATTCCTTTTTTGTTTGAATTAGTTTTATGGCGAGATGGTTCCACTATACACAGTCAGGTCATAAGTATTGTCACACAGTAAAATCTTTTCTTTTAGAATGCTGGCCACAAAAAAGTTTATTGAATTCGAATTTCGAATTGTTCATGAAAATAAAAATGTATACTTTTTAGAATTTTACTCATTTTTAAATATGGAGTGAACGCTTAAAGAAGACCGTGTTGCAGTTATTGCGTTGCATCGTTGCGGTTACGCGCCATTAAAATTTTTGACATACTGAAAAATTTGAATATAGGTAACCAAAAGATTCGTTTATCGTACCATCAAACGATACAATGAAGACTCTAGTGTAGATGACAGGTCAAGAAGTGGTTGCCCTCGGTCTGTTAGGAGTCCAGCAGTGATAAAAGCTGTGAAGACGCGAATTCAAAGAAATCCCAAATGTAAGCAGAAACTGTTGGCCCTTCAGATGGGGTTAAGCAGAACCACGGTGAAAAGGGTGTTAAATGAAGACTTAGGGCTTCGGGCATATCGAAGAAAAACAGGACATCGTCTGAATGCTCGTCTAATGGACCTGAGACTGAAGAGATGTCGCGCTTTGTTGAAGCGGTACGCGGGAAAAACCTGTTCCTCATACCATGTTCAATAACAGGCACTGGGTATTCCAACAAGATTCGGCGCCAGCTCATAGAGCGAAGAGCACACGAGACTGGCTTTCGGCGCGTGAAATCGACTTCATCCGGCACGAAGACTGGCCCTCCTCCAGTCCAGATTTGAGTCCGTTAGATTACAAGATATGGCAAGACTTGGAGGAAAAGGCGTGCTCAAAGCCTCATCCCAATTTGGAGTCACTCAAGACATCTTTGATAAAGGCAGCCGCCGATATTGACATGGACCTCGTTCGTGCTGCGATAGACGACTGGCCGCGCAAATTGAAGGCCTGTATTCAAAATCACGGAGGTCATTTTGAATAAACTTTATTGTCATAAGAATCTATGTTTTGTTAAGTTCATTTTGGTATATAAATGGTTACATAATGAATAAACTTGTTTCAATTATTTTATATTAAACATGTGACAGAATTTATGACCTGACTAGGTATGGTGAAGATCTAATGAGTACTTTCAGAGAAAACAATGGAACTAAATACAAATGTATGTAGAAAACTTAAATTTGACAACAGTGTATCCTTGTTTTTCTCTATACAGAATAAAAAGGAGAGACTGGTGTTAAATTTAGTTTTAAGTTAAGAGAACCATGCCACAATCGACACCACTATTATAATTTGCTCTTAAAGTATAATTTTAGGTTCTACATTATAATAATAATAATTGTATCGATTGCGAGATTCTTCGCCCACGGTCCAAGACCGAAACAATACCAAAATTCTGATTGAACAACACTAGCTTTTGTAGGTATTCTATGATGTTCACAATACCTACTTACTTCCTATAAGGCTTTGTTTGTGTATAAATTATGACGAGCCTCGAATCAGTATTAAATGATACATATAATAATACTAGTGACTGCCCGCGACTTCGTCCGCGTTTACTTAGTTTTTTTTGAGACTCACAGAAAACTAACATTTTTCCGGGATAAAAGTTATCCTATGTCTCAATCCAGGGCATAAACTTTATGGCTCGATATTACAATAAAGTGTCTAATGTTGTATGGACAATGGTATGGAACACTTCGTGCGCGAGTCCGATTCGCATATGGCCGATTTTTTGTTACTTATTTATTAGCTCTAATTCCAGAGTTTATCTGCGAAGTATTCCATAATCTATCCTACGGAAAATAATTCTATCTCCAGTCCAGTCACACCAAATTGCATATACATATGTATTAGATCTCAAAAAATCTAATTGTACATTGATAGGGTCGGATTTAGAGGTGTTGGGCAACAAAGTTGTGGATTCCCCTAAATCTAAGCTGGACCACTTTCGATTTGCTTTGCTTGTGGGGCCCCTGGGAAACATCCTCGTCTGCCCTGCCTTATATTCGGCCCTGTGCATTGACGAAACAGAACCCCCGGCCCCAGACAGTTGACATTAAAATACCTATTCAAATGTAAAGAAAATAATTCTATCATTTCTATTCTATCGCAATTGAGGTAAATGAGAGACTGCTGTCCAATTTGCAGAAAAAAAACTGGTTTCGATACTACCATAGAACAGAAAAACACTTCAGTTACAGTCAGCACGAAAATAATATCAATACACAAGAAGAAGATACTCGTCCTCTCTCCTCATATAGGTTGGTACTTTTGCATCATACTCAACCACTGAACTATAGGGGCTTTTCTTTTCAGCATAAGCTTGCTTACAATTTATAAAATAATCCTTCTCACCTGTGTTTGTGTTCTTCATTCCCCTTAAACTTTTATCAACAATGATTTTAGGTCATGAGTGGGACATCGTGAAATATAACTGAACCCACATTAGGCCACCTACATGGCGCCTCATGCGCATCTAGGGTATTTATATACAACTGATTTGTTTTGCTTCGTTTTTTGTTCTGTTGTTATATTGTGAAAGATATAAAAATATTTAAACTTTTACTGAAAAACAACAACCAACTTCATAAAATTAAACCAAAAAATAAAATCAATCAATTAATCAATTATTTATTTGCAAATACAGATGATACAAAGGTGTTAAATTATAATACGTACGCTTATTCCATATTTAACCACAAGGCATGCAAATTAAAATAAACACATAGGTACATCCATTTACACAGATCTGTCCTCTAAAAATTCCTTAATACTATAATATGAAGAAAAGTTTACTAGAAAAAATCCAAGCGGACCAGGCAGTGGACGGGACTCGAACCCGCACCCTTCGCAATCCAGGCGAATGCACTGACCAATTATGCTACCACGGCCCTATTCGCCACGTCGAAATTTTCCTAGCCTTAAGCTGCAAGGCAGCGCCATCTCTTCGCATTGTAGGTAACCCACAATGTCAAATGAATACTTTTTCAAGTATTAAACATTTGAAAGAAGAAATAGCAATTATAGTTATGTTTTTATTTATTTTTAAGCATTTAACTGCTAGACGTTTAAATCTAAAGAAAAGTTTACTAGAAAAAATCCAAGCGGACCAGGCAGTGGACGGGACTCGAACCCGCACCCTTCGCAATCCGGGCGAATGCACTGACCAATTATGCTACCACGGCCCTATTCGCCGCGTCGAAATTTTCCTAGCCTTAAGCTGCAAGGCAGCGCCATCTCTTCGCATTGTAGGTAACCCACAATGTCAAATGAATACTTTTTCAAGTATTAAACATTTGAAAGAAGAAATAGCAATTATAGTTATGTTTTTATTTATTTTTAAGCTTTTAACTGCTAGACGTTTAAATCTAAAGAAAAGTTTGACATTGTGGGTTACCTACAATGCGAAGAGATGGCGCTGCCTTGCAGCTTAAGGCTAGGAAAATTTCGACGCGGCGAATAGGGGCGTGGTAGCATAATTGGTCAGTGCATTCGCCCGGATTGCGAAGGGTGCGGGTTCGAGTCCCGTCCACTGCCTGGTCCGCTTGGATTTTTTCTAGTAAACTTTTCTTTAGATTTAAACGTCTAGCAGTTAAATGCTTAAAAATAAATAAAAACATAACTATAATTACTATAATATGCCTTTTTAAGTAACATATTCTTTAATTTAGAGCGAAATATATTGGGGATTTCAGCTTTTCTAATTTCAATTGGAATTTTATTATATACCTGAGGTGCCATAAAGTACACTATTATTCATAAGCCATGTCTTGTTAGACGGTAAACAAAGTCTGGTTTCGAATCTTCTACTATTAAAAGTAACATATAAGTGTAAATTTGCCCTAACAAAAACAGCAATTTCATATATGTAAATACACGGCAATGTCAAATGTTTTAGTGATATAAAATGCGGTTTACAGCTGTCAGTTTGCTTAATTTTACAAATAGCACTTAAACATTTTTTTGAGCTTTAAATGCTTTAAATGCATATTCTTTGTCAACTGAGTTCCCCCAAAATATCACTCCATACCGTAACGTAGATGCTACATTCGCATGATACGCTATTAATACTGTTGATATATGGACCACCTCACCGAGCATCTATAGAACATAGGAGAATTTACTGAGTTTAACACAAACACTCTCAATCTCTCAATATGCGCTTTCCAGTTAAGGTTACAATCAACAGTTATACCTAAAAACTTTATTAAGTCCACTTCCTTAACGCTCTTTCCACAATGCTCAACGTCGACTGATACGGGAGTTCTAGGTCTATTTTGAAATGTCATAATATGAGTTTTGTCTATATTAATTATTATAATAAATTATTTCTTTTTAACCAGTCTACAATTTTGTCAAGTGTTATAGTTATGTCAGATCGCAACAGGGATAAACTTTTATCAGCAAACAGTATCATTGGTGAAACTATTACTGTGGGGAAGTCGTTAATATATGCTAAAAACTTAGCCTGGTACGTACTTTCATTTAAATTACATGTTAAATCTATAAATAAATCAATTCGATATTTTTTTTGTGTTCGTTATTGTCAGGACTACGTTTGTGGGTGTATAAAGAAAAAAAATAAAACAAAAAAATTGCAGTACTACTTATGAAGTTCGCCGTGCCAGCTATCAACTTATTTGGA